ATCCCCGCAACGGGGTGAGCTCCCATTGCTTGGTCCCTGCCCCTGCCAACCTAGCAGTTCAAAAGCATGAAGTGCAAGTAGATAAATAGGTACCGCTTCGGCAGGAAGGGAAATGGCGTTTCCGTGCACTGCTCTGGTTCGCCAGAAGTGGCTTAGTCATGCTGGCCACATGACCCGGAAGCTGTAAGCCGGCTCCCTCGGCCAATAAAGCGAGATGAGCGCCGCAACCTCAGAGTCGTCCATGACTGGACCTAACGGTCAGGAGTCCCTTCACCTTTACACACGCACACAGTTTTCCATTTTAACAATCCAATAAGACCCACATTCAAAACATTCAAAATTATAATATCCAAATTTTCTGCCAAATTATGGTTGACTTCCCATGCTCTGAGGTTCAAAGTGTTGAGCTTTTTTTAAGGAAACCACTGACTTGTATCTGCCCAGGTTCCAAGCAGTGACCTTGGAAGAACCTCAAGAGAGAGACTCTGCTGAAGAAAGTTAAGGCAGGATTCTGACTAAGAGCTGGAGTCCTATGTGGGAAGGTGGTGGTTAAGAAGCTCGATCTCTTTGCAACAGTTACAGGGAGGAGAAAGAGAGTCATTAATTCTCATTTAGCTTAGATGAAGCAAGGTGGGTGTAGCTGAATGGAACAGAGGCTGCTGCCTCATTCATCACTACCCATTGGGCATGACAGCTTCAATAGAAGGGAGCCAGACATCATTTTTTAAATGCAGCATCCCCTCTGTCCCAGAACGTAGCCTTATGGGGTAGGAGGCTACGCCTTTGCCCCTGTGGAGGTGGGGACCTTCGTAAACCCAGAAGACAGTTAACTACAGTTTAAGCTTCTGTATGCATAAAATCCTAAAGCAGGGCTGCCATACGTCCGGATTTTCCTGGACATTACTGGGAATTAAAAGGCGGAATCAACCTCCAGGGGTTAATTTCCAAAAGGCGGTGCTTTGTTCTGGATCTTAGGCAAGTCAATCGCAAAATCTTTGGTGCATTTTCTGTAAAAAAACAAACAAAACAAAACAGCTCAACAACTTAGGGGTTTGTCTTTAAAAAAGCTCAACAACTTTCAGGGTGTCCTGGTTTTCACTCTTTGAAATATGGCAACCCTACCATTTGCTCAGATATTTTCACATAGTTCTATACAGTGCTTTTTTCTTTAAAAAATGTTTAGGGGTTGTTCTGTATTGAAGTACTCACCCTGGCCACCAGGAGTATCGTGTATACTGTATAGTTTTCACTCAGGTCCACATCAGTTAATTTAGGCGGGAAACCCTGGGCTGTTGTTGCTACAATGTTGACAGCCGGCTGCCTATAAAAGTAGGCCAGCTGAGCTGTTTGCTGTTCAGTTCAGTTCCAGCTTACTATAAAGAACCACTTGGAGAGGGGAAAAATGGGGGGGAAACCCATGAACTGAAGCGTATGTAACCCGAGGTACATACGCTTCAGGTTACATACGCTTCAGGTTACACACTCCGCTAACCCAGAAATAGTACCTCGGGTTAAGAACTTTGCTTCAGGATGAGAACAGAAATCGCACGCCTGCAGCGCAGCGGCAGCAGAAGGCCCCATTAGCTAAAGTGGTGCTTCAGGTTAAGAACAGTTTCAGGTTAAGAACGGACCTCCAGAACGAATTAAGTACTTAACCTGAGGTACCACTGTACAGTGGTACATCTGGATGCAAACGGGATCCGTTCCAGAGCCCTGTTCGCATCCAGAGCAGAACGCAACCCGCGTCTGCGCATGCGTGGGTCATGATTCACCGCTTCTGCGCATGCGCGTGACATCATTTTGAGCATCTGCGAAACCCGGAAGTAACGCATTCCATTACTTCCAGATCGCCGCGGAGCGCAACCCAAAAACGCTCAACCTGAAGCAACTTCAACCCGAGGTATGACTGTATACACATGGCTTTTCAGGCTGCATGATGTGGTCTGTTTGGTCTTCCTCGTTTATGTATAGGAAGCAAGAATCTCACATGCATAAAACTCTTCAGGGGATGGAGGCCTTTCGAAAGCAGCAAATGCTTCCAAAGCAATTCTACGTCAAGGTACAGACCAAAAGCACCGCTTGAAATCACTGCGCACCATCTGTTGGCTTTTACCAATGCCGCCTCGCCAAAGGCTAGTTGAAAATCTTCAGTCCCATTTTGTGAGAATGTTTGCCAGCACTTTTCGACGTGGAACTCTGCTGCCCCTTTTGGCCTTTGGCTTGAATATGCTCTACTGCGGTTCAAGTAGAATGACACTGAGCTGGAGCCATATTATGAATTCTGAGCAGTATTATTTTTTTGAAATCATTTTTATTTGACTTTACAAATACAAATTTATAATAATCCAAATGTTTATCCATATGTAGAGATTTCTCTGAATCTCAAGGTTTCCCCCCATCCCTCCATGGGGTCCTATTCTCAACATTTATAACTGCATATTATTTCAGAATCTATATTTTGTATCCAACTATATTTTCCATACTATTTTTTACATTACAAGTGAGATTAAAATCCTGCTAATGTTTTCATCTGCTTGCAGTGGTCTCTTAAATAAATCATAAATTTTCCCCATTATTTTTAAAAGTTTTTGTCTTCTTGGTTCCTGAGCTTTCTGGTCAGTTTTGCCATTTCGGCATAGTCCAACCAGCTTAGTTTGCCATTCCTCTCTGGTAGGGACTCTTCCTTCTTTCCATCTCTGGAGTAGCAGCATCCGTGCTGCTGTTGTTGCATACATCAAAAGTATTTTCTGCTCCTTTGGAATGTCTGTACCTATGATTCCTAATAGAAAAGCTTCTGGCTTTTTAACAAAAGTTATTTTAAACATATTTTTTTCAGTTCATTGTATATCATCTCCCATAAATCTTTTATTACACGACCACCACATGATAAAAGGAAGCTTCTTCTTTTTTTTTTACATTTCCAGCAGGTATTTGTACTTGTTCTATACATTTTTGCTAACTTACTAGGAGTCAAGTACATCATTTTCATATAATTTTATTTCAGTGTACAACATGTCACGAATTTCAGGTCTGTTTTCCATAATCCTTCCCAATCTGCCCTCTGAATATTATGTCCCAAGTCCTTTGCCCAGTGTAATGTTACAGATTTAACCTGCTCATCTTTTGTATGCCATTCCAAGAGCAAACTGTACATTTTCGACAATAATTTAATATTATTTTCTAAGAGGTCTTTTTGAAATCTTGATATCTCACAACTAAAATCTTTCTTTTTATCTGTCTTAAAAGTATCATTTAGTTGGTGAAACTGTAACTAATCTATTAATAAATGCCTTATCGCCTCATAATCTTTGGGTTTCACCTGGTGTTCTACTTCGGTAAACAGCTCTCTATATGTTGGCCGGCATGAAGTCTGAGCATTTTTAGGGAGCCTCGCTATAGCTGCTGTTTAGCGTCTTGTCCTGTGTTCTCCACAAAAGGCAGAAGGAAAACCCACTCACGCTGCAATCCCAGGCAGGAACATGGCTACTTGGAAACTTGCTCTCAGGCAGATGCATGAAAGATCACCACACTGGCAAATGCTAAGAATCACCATACAGTGGTACCTCAGGTTAAGTACTTAATTCATTCCGGAGGTCTGTTCTTAACCTGAAACTGTTCTTAACCTGAAGCACCACTTTAGCTAATGGGGCCTGCCACTGCTGCCATGCCACCGGAGCCCGATTTCTGTTCTTATCCTGAAGCAAAGTTCTTAACCTGAAGCACTATTTCTGGGTTAGCGGAGTGTGTAACCTGAAGCGTATGTAACCTGAAGCGTATGTAACCTGAAGCGTATGTAACCCAAGGTACCACTGTATTCCCAAAACTGAAAATCTGGACAAAGTTGTTGAGCTCAATATAAGAATTAGAGACCCCAGGTGTATATTTTTATTATTTTAATAATGTTTAAATGTTTCACTTTACTTTATTTAACTTTTTAGAATGGATTAGGCTTGATTGTTGTTCTGCATTTGAGAGTCTGCCTCTCCCACACTGCATTTCCTCACTCCTTATCTACCCCTGAAAGTGGTCCAAATGGCAGGATGTTTTAGCACCAGAGTGCAAATTGGCTACCCTTAAAGCGATCCGAGACCCAGGAAGAGGATTTTATGATGCTCTTCCCTTGCTGAAGGCTAGGTTGCCAGGGTAACGCCAGACATCTGAGACCTAAAATGGTCAAACCCACGGAGCCAAGCGTGTTTAGCTTCTCATGAACTGGCCATGTTGTGCGGATATCTGATTATCGTCTTCCAAAACAACTACTCTATTCCAAACTTTAAAATGGAAAGCGTAATGCTGGTGGCCAACAAAAGAGGTTCAAAGACTCTCTCAAGGCAAATCTTTAAAAAAAAAGTAGTATAAACACTGAGAACTGGGAAACACTGGCCTGCGAGCGCTCCAATTGGAGAACAGCCTTCACCAAAGGTGTCATGGGCTTTGAAGACGCGCAAACTCAGGACGAAAGGGAGAAACATGCTAAGAGGAAGGCACGCTTGGCAAACCCTTACCATGATCAACTCCTGTCCGGAAACCTATATCCCCACTGTGGAAGGATGTTTGGATCCAGAACTGGCCTCCACGGTCAGAGGGCCATCTCACTAGTGGCACCCGCCCTGTGGAATGCCCTCCCACCAGATGTCAAGGAAATAAACAGCTATCAGACTTTTAGAAGACATCTGAAAGCAGCCCTGTTTAGGGAAGTTTTTAATGTTTGATGTTTTATCGTGTTTTTAATATTCTGTTGGGAGCAGCCCAGAGTGGTTGGGGAAACCCTGCCAGATGGGCGGGGTATAAGTAATAAATTATTATTATGATTATTATTACTACTATTATTAGCCCCTCAAGTTTGCTGATCCCAGCAAATAAGAGACCCCACACTCCAAGCTGGTCTGGGGCTCTAGCAATGAAAGTGAAACCAACCACCATTCTGTTGCCTGGTAGTGTTTAGCAGAGTTTGCCCCAGACATCAGTGGGGGCAAGGACCCTAGAAATCAAACAGGTTTCCCTTTTTAAAAAGTATTTATTGACATCATCGTTTATTTACATAGTTGTTTATGAGTCACCTTTTTGTCCAAAAAGGACATCCCAAGGAACTTACAGTTTAAGAACTTTTAACTTAGAAGCACCGCTGCTTTTAAAAAAAGAAAAAGAAATTCAGTCCATTAAGTGTTCTAAACCCAAGGACACTGGAAGATGTCCCTAACCCAATCACAGTCAGAGCTTGACACCAAACCCATCTTTCGAACCGCACCCTAACCCACCATCTGTGGTCAGAAATTATATAAAGCCCCTCTCTGCCAACTATTTCCCAAAACTGTTACAGGCGTTTACATACAAAGAACGTAAAACACCCACTCACAAAAATTGACAAATTGAGGCAGCTCATGACAAAGTCTTGCTCACTGGAATAATCCTGCTCACCCTTGGGGGAGAGTTGTGCTCTTGCTTGCAAAAATAGCAATTTAAAGCAATTAGGAAACATTTTCAATTTTTCTCCTTTCTTCCCACAAAAGGTATGTTTCTTGCATACCATATTAGCGTACTGCCTTTTGCGCCAATGCTTTGCAGTTCAGTGAAAGCTGGACTGCAGGTCAGCTTTCCCCTTTCACAGCACCACCAGCCCCATCTTTTCTGCCATGCACTAGACGCTCTCGGAAAAGGAGGGGAGATTTCGGCTCCTGGTCCTCCCAGGCAAACCCACTGAGATTCAGAGTCCCAACAAGATTCGTGGGTGGTCAGGGAGTGAGCTTGAAAGGTAGCAGCTGGAGGTGGATCTTCTAAAGTTCAGAAGACAACAGAACACCGTACGCTGGTTCTAAGGAACTTCACCACGCTGTCTCTGTATCCGTGGGTCTGGCAAGCAGGCAGCATAGCCCAGACCTTCACGAGGGCAAAACCCTTTCTGCTTCCATGGGTCGGGATGGGGTTGCAGAGATAGGTATAAAGTGCTGGTGGATAAAAACATGAGCAAGAAGTGTTATGCAATGAGACACGCATGGGCTAACCAGGAAAAAATATATGTTTCTCTGCACATTTGACCCAGAACAGACTGGAGGAGGGTGGCCAACTTTTAAATGTTACATCTCAAGTAAAACTTAAGGGTTTAGGCTCTCAACCTGAGCTCAGGATCCAAAGGAGAATGAAAAGTCACAGAGCTCTGACCCACAATGCCAGCTCCAGCATTTAAATTTATTATTATTATTAATTCAACTTATACAACTAAACCCAGAGGTCCCAGGATGGTTCACAACAAGACTACAACATATAAAATCAAACCATAAGCAGTAACTCAATAACACCCCCCCAAAAAAGCCACATTCTTAAAGGGTGTTGGATGTCAATATGATCAACCAAAGGCCTGGTTAAAAAGAAACGATTTTGCCTGACGACTAAAGGTGTGTAATGAAGGCGCCAGGAGAACTTCCCTGGGGAGAGCATTCCATAGACAGGGAGCCACTGCAGAGAAGGCCCGTTCTCATGTTGCCACCCTCCGGATCTCTCAAGGAGAAGGCCACACGAAGGAGGGCCTCAGAATATGATCTCAGGATCCGGGTAGGTTCTTACGGAAAGAGGCGGTCCTTGAGGTATTGCAGCCCTGAGTCATTTAAGGCTTTATAGGTCAAAACCAGCACTTGGAAGTTCTAGTGGATTACTGGCATGATGGGGCTAATTCTGAGTTCATGCCATGAGCTCCTCTAAAAAATATATGCATCAGTGCATTGATTTTGCGTTGCCACAGAGCAGCTTTGGCCATGCCTTTCCCATGCCAAGAGGTGGTTTGGAATTAAATGTGCTATGCATACAAAAGTGCTTTGAAGAGAACATGTTTCGGTCAAAGGGAAGCTATTGGTAGGTGTCTACATCTGACCAGAAACAGGTTCTTCAAATTGTGCAACTGTATATGTGGCATGCAACACATACACACACCCAACAGTAAATTCGCACCCAAGGAATGGACTACGTGAGCACCAAGGGGGAATATATTGAAAAGCTACTCAAAGGCTGCTGCTCCTTTGGGAAAGAAATGCAAAACAGTCGATCACATCCCACCACTCAATTAATGGGCATGGGTTCACAGAGCGGAAGACTCCACATCGCAGAGACTTGTTAAATGCTGTCCTCTGCCCAACCTCAAGGGTGAAAAGACAGGTGCAAACATCTCTGCACCACCAATTCCCTGCAAAAGACGTCAGGTGAAGTTCGCCTTCTTGTGCTGTCGCAGCTGGAAATACAGCCTCTTAAAAGGTAAAGGGACCCCTGACCATTAGGTCCAGTCATGGCCGACTCTGGGGTTGCGGCGCTCATCTCGCTTTATTGGCCGAGGGAGCCAGTGTACAGCTTCCGGGTCATGTGGCCAGCACGACTAAGCTGCTTCTGGCAAACCAGAGCAGCGCACGGAAACGCCATTTACCTTCCCGCCGGAGTGGTACCTATTTATCTACTTGCACTTTGACGTGCTTTTGAACTGCTAGGTTGGCAGGAGCAGGGACCGAGCAACGGGAGCTCACCCTGTCACGGGGATTCGAACCGCTGACCTTCTGATCAGCAAGCCCTAGGCTCTGTGGTTTAACCCACAGCGCCACCCGTGTCCCGCTTACAGCCTCTTACGTGTGAATAAAAGAATGGCGAGGAGTCACCATTCATAATAAATAATAATAATAATTTATAATTTTTTACTATTTATGCTGGGACACGGGTGGCGCTGTGGTGTAAACCACTGAGCCTTGGGCTTGCAGATCGGAAGGTTGGTGGTTCGAATCCCCGTAATGGGGTGAGCTCCTGTTGCTCGGTCCCAGCTCCTTCCAACCTAGAAGTTCGAAAGTATGTCAAAGTGAAAGTCCGGCGGGAAGGTAAACGATGTTTCCATGCGCTGCTCTGGTTTCGCCAGAAGCAGCTTGGTCATGCTGGTCACATGACCCGGAAAAACTGTCTGCGGACAAACATTGGCTCCCTCGGCCAGTAAAGCAAGATGAGCGCTGCAACTCCAGAGTCATTTGCGACTGGACTTAACTGTCTGGGGTCCTTTACTTTTTTACTTTTATTTATACCCCACCCATCTGGCTAGGTTTCCCAGCCGGGCTCTGGAGACCTCCAGTCTGTTCACGGAGCTATAGGACACTTAAGCTCTTCACGGAACATATTTCGAGTACTGGGAATGCTACCAATTGCTCCGACTAAAGGCAAAGGACTGTTTTGCACGGGGCAGCTTGCTATGGCACGGCGTGTAGCCCATTGGCAAGCTGCAGTCTTCCAAACAATTCTGTCTAGTGAGAAGCAGTGCTTCCATCGTGCGGTGGCACCATTCGGAAACCGAGGAACAGCCAAGGTTTCGTGCCTATGTGCAGCAGAAGGTTGGGCAAACTGCTTGGTTCAAAAGCAACCTCGTTTACCCCTTGCTGAAGGGGACTGGAAGACAGCACACAGCTCTTTGCTTCATCAAGCTGAAGCACACTGAGATGCTTACCATGGCATCCTGGACCTCCAGCATTTTGGCCACAGGCTCTTTGCATCGCTGCGCCGAGGGCTGCGTGACAGTGGCGAGGCGGGCGGTGTAGAAGGCACATTCATCATTTAGGCGTGCCTCGTGGAAGCGCATAGGTGCACTAAGGAGGTCATCCAAGCGCTGCTTGACTTGGTCTACTGGGGAAAAGACAGCAATGGCAAAGATATAACAAATAATAATATACATATATATTCATACATGCATGCATACATACATACATACATACCCTGCCCATCTGGCAGGGTTTCCCCAGCCACTCTGGACAGCTCCCAACAGAATATTAAAAACACAAAAAAAGTCAAACATTAAGATATGGACTATTTTGTAATCAATGATTAATTGCAATTATTACTATAACACTTTTTAAAGTGTCCTAGCAGCAAATATTTATGGACTATGGCCAAATAGTTCTTAACACCTGAAGGACAGGGAAGACACACAATGAGAGCCAAGTGGAAAAGCAGGACATTTAAATTAATGTTATTACAGTGGTGCCCCGCAAGACGAATGCCTCGCAAGACGGAAAACCCGCTAGACGAAAGGGTTTTCCGTTTTCAATGCGCTTCACAGGACGAATTTCCCTATGGGCTTGCTTCGCAAGACGAAACATCTTGCGAGTTCTTGCGAGTTTGTTTCCTTTTTCTTAAAGCCGCTAAGCCATTAATAGCCGCTAAGCCGCTAAGCCACTATTAGCCGTGCTTCGCAAGACGAAAAAACCGCTAGACGAAGATACTTGCGGAACGGATTAATTTCGTCTTGCGAGGCACCACTGTATTTCAGATAGGATTCCTACCACACCAGTTTGTCATACAGGGGAACCTCGGTTTTCGAAAGTAATCCGTTCCGGAAGACTGTTCAACTTCCAAAACGTTTGAAAACCAAAAACTGAAAGCGGAAGCCTCAATACAATAGGGAAACTCAAAACGGAAGCTGCATAGCATGTTCGGGTTCCGGAAATTGTTCAAAAACCGGAACAGTTACTTCCGGGTTTTCGGGTTCGGGAGCCAAAACGTACGACAATGGAGACATTCGGGAACTGAGGTTCCACTGTAAAAGGATATTATTATCACTTGCCTTAAAAAAAAATTAACATGAGAATCAAGTTAATCTATCAGGTCTTACCTGCACTATTTCCACAGGACGACATGAGCCCGAGCAAAGGCATGGAGGTACCACTGCCGCTGGATGCCGGGAGCTGGACCGAAGGCATCCGAGGGGTGGGGCAAACAGGTTGCTGGCTGGAGGTGGTGGCATGTGTTGTGCCAGGTTCAGGTGCCATAGCAACAGACCCTGGCGCCAGCTTGCAGAGGTGTGGTCCGCGAGGCGGCACAGGGGTAGTGAGGAGACCAGGCTTGGGAGCCTCCTGGGCAGGCGAGCAGTGATCCGACAACAGTTTGTGCAATTCCCCCAGCGCGGGGGCAATGTCGTGATTGATGCCGTCATTCACCTCCTGTTGCAAGAGCTGAGCAAGGAGCTTGATGCGCTGGGGGAAGAGGAGGACAAGGGCTGAAATGGGGCAGGTAACTCTAGCTCAGCCGCCCGATAGGCTACATCTTGTCTATGGTGGGACACCGTACCCCACGAGTCCCAGGCAGAAAGTAAACCAGACCTCCCAGAATGCCAAGCTACCCAGGGGTCAGCAGGGACTGAGATGTTCCCCTGCAGCCATGAAAGCTAAATAATCCCCCCCCCCAAGAAATGTATGAAAGCACAATTTGTGCAGAACTGGATGCTGTTTCCAATTATTCCAAGCTCTTGCAGTAATAATAATAATTATTTATTATTTATACCCCACCCATCTGGCTGGATTTCCCCAGATACTCTGAGCGGCCCCCAACCGAATATTAAAAACATGATAAAACATCAAACATAAAAAACTTCCCAAAACAGGGATGCCTTCAGATGTCTTCTAAAAGTCAGATAGTTGTTTATTTCCTTGACATCAGATGTCTTCTAAAAGTCATCGACAGTTGTTCATTTCTTTGACATCTGATGGGAGGGTATTCCACAGGGCGGGTGCCACTACCGAGAAGGCCCTCTGCCTGGTCCCCTGTAACCTCACTTCTCGCAGGGAGGGAACCGCCAAAAGGCCCTCGTAGAACACGGTGCTTCCTTTACAGCAGACTATTCTGATCCAACAGCTGCCTGCTTTTCCCTCTGCAATGCTCTCAGCTTCACCACCTACACCAACCTTGCCAGTACTACAGGTAAAGGCAGAATTAGAACTTCATCCTTTGATTTCTTTGAAAAAAGTTTATTTTCCATCTTTCTCCAACTGCCTCTCTGCAGTAAACTCAACCTCACAATCAAAGAAAATTCAGAAGTTTGAAATGTTTCAGAAAACCACAAAAGAGAATGGTGTTAAAAGTAACCACCCCATCCTTTTCGTTATCAGAATTTGCAAGCAGGGCCTGTTTAAAGGAATAGCCGAGTTATGCGCTAGGAGCCAGTTTCTACCTGGGAGAAAAATTAACAAAGGATGCTTACCTGGAGTTTTCCCATTTCTGGGGTGATCACAGGAACAGCTGCCACCTTCTTTGCCGATGCTGCTATCTCATCCTTAAAGAGCCGCACAGCAATGGTTTCCTGCGAGAGAAGGAAAAAGTCATCTCGCCTCCCTGCGTTCCACTTCCACCCCACCAAAGCTACCAACCATCGAGAGGGCAGGTGAGGACAAGGAAAAAGTGGGAAAGATGGCAGGATCCCAAACCCACCGCTCCCCACATGCCGGTATCAACAGGCGTTCTGACTATATTCTAGGAACCAATTCAGGAGTAGGCTAAAGTTTAGGGAGGAAAAAAACCTACAAAAAGATATTAAGCCGGAAAAATGACCATTGCATACTTGGGTTTAGCAAGTCTGCTGCTACTGGCAAATTAGGCAGCATGCATATAAAAATATACCCCATTTTACAAACATTCAAAGCCGTAGCCAGGAGATATGCCTTTGAGCACCTCATAAAAATGGGAAGAGGAAATAGAAGACCTTCTCCATAACACGTCCTCCATATCTTTACTGTGGTGCCCTCCTAGAACCGCTGCTTGCAGTCTAGAGATGTAATGCAGCAAACACCTTTTTTTAAAAAAACTTACACAGAATTAGATCTGACAAATAATCCTCACAACCTATCTTACATGGGGAAGGGGGCAGAATGTATGATCTGATTCAGGGTTTCCCAAACTTGGTTCTCCAGCTGCTTTGGGGCTACAATTCCCATCATCCCTGACCATTGATTGAGCTACATATGAATGATAGGAGTTGTAGTCCAGGCAACAGCTGGAGACCCAAGTTTGGGAAACACTGCTCCAATTGAACACTTTCTGTTGTAGAGTACAGTGGTACCTTGGTTCTCAAACGCCTTGGTTCTCAAACACTGAAAACCCGGAAGTGTTCCAGTTTTCAAATGTTTTTCAGAAGCTGAACATCCGGTGCAGCTTTCGTTTAAGTGCAGGAAGCTCCTGCAGCCAATCTGAAGCCACGCCTTTGTTTTTGAACATTTCGGAAGTCGAACAGACTCCCGGAACGGATCAAGTCTGGCACTTTTGTTTTTGCTATTTATTTTGTGTTTTTGCTTTTGAGGCTTTTTCAGTTAATTTTTTTTATGATTGTGTGGAACCCAGTTCAGCTACTGATTGATTGTGTGACTGCAGAAATGAATAAAAGCCCCCCATCTAAACAATGACTATCATCAGTGCAGGTAAGAAAAAAATTATTTATTTTTTATCATCTACAATACTGTCTTATTTATTTTATAGTACAGTACACTGATTATTGCTTGCATTTTATGGATCAATAGTCTCGTTAGATAGTAAAATTCATGTTAAAGTGCTGTTTTAGGGGATGTTTTTAAAAGTCTGGAACAGATTAATCCATTTTGCATTACTTTCTATGGGAGAGCACATCTTGGTTTTGGAACGGACTTCCAGAACAGATTAAGTTTGAGAACCAAGAACTCAAACAACAGAAGCTGCCAGACTATAAAGATTTACGAGACGCGGGTGGTGCTGTGGGTTAAACCACAGAGCCTAGGACTCGCCAATCAGAAGGTCGGCGGTTCGAATCCCCACGACAGGGTGAGCTCCTGTTGCTCGGTCCCAGCTCCTGCCAACTTAGCAGTTCAAAAGCACGTCAAAGTGCAAGTAGATAAATAGGTACCGCTCCGGCGGAAGGTAAACGGCGTTTCCATGCGCTGCTCTGGTTCGCCAGAAGCGGCTTAGTCATGCTGGCCACATGACCCGAAAGCTATACACCGGCTTCCTCGGCCAATAAAGCGAGATGAGCGCCGCAACCCCAGAGTCGGTCACCACTGGACTTAATGGTCAGGAGTCCCTTTACCTTTTTAAGAAACCACATACAAGGCGTTCTTAAGCAGGTGCTCGAGCATAACATATTAAGTGACCGGAATGCATCGGAGCAACATGAATACAAACAGCTGCTCCCATGGGAAAGGGCTCCGAGTTTTATCTATTTATCTAATTTACCCATGCCACAGCAGTGTCATCCTCCTTGGAGTCCACAGAGTCCTTCAATGAGGTGATCTTGCTTGCCAAATTAACCTGGAAAAAGCAAAATGGACAGGGGTTTTTTGGGGTACCAACGGGTTTCAAACCCTGCTATGTTTTTACAGCCAACCTAGTCACACAGCCAGGAATTACTTTCTAGTTCTGCGACCAAGGAACCTTTAGGGGAAAGTAAGAGAAATCAAAATCCCGGGAGCATTTTTGTAAGTAACACACACCAAGTTACCACAATCCCAGCTGAGGCTCAAAGAGGGAAATTTTTTTACACAGTATAACATACCTTCGGCGGCAGCTCATTGCTGCGACTAACACTAAAATACATGTGCACACACTTTTGCATTTAAAGAAAGAAGCAAAAATTCAAGTACGTGGCAGATGAGTTTGCTGGTGGGTAAAAACGAGGGCAAAAATACAGCCTCCCTCTAGGATCCCCACCCTCCAGAAAGTATAGAATAAAGGCTATGCACCATCACGTATCACATGCTGCTGTGCTTGTGAGCCCACTGAGGAATCTGCCCGCCATAGCAAGATGCTGAATGAGTAAGAATGGATAACAACTTGCAACAACATTTTGCAGTGTTGAGTGACCCTATTCAGGATGCTGTATTTGATTTTCTCATTCCCCACCTGGTCTTCCGCTTCAATCTCCGGTCAATCACTCATCATTCCACAGCCACCAAGCATGTTCAGTCTTCGTGGGGCTGTTCCACCAACTCTTTAGGTTTGTTTTTCCTTTTTGTATTTCTGCCAACGCTCCTTTAAACCTGCTAACACGTCTTTCTTCGGCACCTATGCTGCTGTTTCGGCCATGTAACGACTGGCCCCCAGAAAACAGATTGTCTCAAGTATATACAATGCCTATTCCACAACGGCAAGTCTTATGACTTACCCAGGAATTGGTATGGTCAGTGGTAATCAGGGACCTTTAAGAAGTAAAAAAATCAAAGGACCTCTAGACGGTTAAGTCCAGTCAAAGGCGACTATGGGGTTGCAGCGCTCATCTCGCTCAGCATCCTACTTACTAAGGATTCCAATACCTGCTCACAGCAGTAGGAATGGGACATTTCAGAGGGTTTTTGGTAAAGGACTCTCAGATAGTTCATTATCTGAGCATTTTTAGAGTATCAGTTCCTGCCCTCCTACTTGGTTTAGATTAAGCATTGGGCACCCACCTTCTTAGCTTTAATGCAGGAAGAAACAGGCGCCCGGTTCCGTATCCAGGGACTGCGATGCTGGTCCAACATAAGAGAAAGTATTCAGAAGATGGAGCAATGGGAGTCACAGTGAACAGCAAGGCACATAACTTGAAAAAGGATGAAACTAACAACTGCATCGTTCTGCCCGGACACTGAGGTCCAGCACCGAGGGCCTTCTGGCGGTTCCCTCACTGCAAGAAGCCAGGTTACAGGGAACGAGGCAGAGGGCCTTCTTGGTAGTGGCACCCGCCCTGTGGAACGCCCTCCCACCAGATGTCAAAGAGAAAAATAACTACCAAACTTTTAGAAGACATCTGAAGGCAGCCCTGTTTAGGGAAGCTTTTAATGTTTAATAGGTTATTGTATTTAAGTGTTTTGTTGGAAGCCGCCCAGACTGGCTGGGGAAACCTAGCCAGATGCGCGGGGTATAAATAATAAATTATGATGATAATGATGATGATGATGAAAGAAGATGCTCAACTGTCGAGCATACATTCTTCATGCAAAAGTCAATACCTGCCATCTCTAGTTAAGAGGATCCTAAGGGGCAATGCCCCAGACCCCAGAGAGCCACTGCCAGGCACAATAGATAACATGGGGCTAGGTGGCTCAGTGGGCTGACTCAGGATAAGGCAGCTCCCAGGTTCTTGCACCACTTTAAAACATTTCTTTCCCACTCTGCCTTGCCATTCATTTCCAACAATAAGATAATCACAATGAAGTTCAGCTGATTAAAAGAAAAACAGAGAAACATGATAACTATTCTTATTCACTACGAGCCTCTGCAAAAGGGACCAGGCGGTCAAAACACATGAGAGTGGGTTGAGAGTCAAGCATTTCTGGGGAGCTTGCACCATAGCTAGTGGGCTACCACAGAAAAGGCCCTATTTCCCCAGTTGCCACCTGCTTAACCTCTGAAAACGGGAGGCGCCTGGAAAAGGGCTTCTCAAAATGATCTTACTGGCCAGACAGGTTCAAAAGGGCACAGGTAGGGCACCCTAGGTACAAGGCATATAGGGCTTTATGTTTTCTGTGGGGTTTTTTAACCCAAACTGCCAGTTGTGTCTGAAATTACACAGGAAGCCAGCACAGATGTTTTTTGGCATAGGTAATATATGTTGCCAGCAGCAGGGATGATGCACAGTCTGCTGGTTTCAGACTATTAAGCCCAAGACAATAAAGGATAGGGCTGGTAACTAATCTCTGCTCCCAGCCCACCAGAGCTACATTTCCCTCCTGTTTCACCCCAGCAGCGTCAACACAAATGGTGGTTTTCCAGGACATGCCCATAGCTAGCTAGGAAGTGGATGCAGACTTCTGGGCAAGACTTTTAGCAACAAAGCGGCAGGCAACCTCGCCAACCCTGAAGCACAAACCGAGGATTGCGGGGAAGCAATGGGAACCCTCCGAGCTAATCCATAGGGGGTATGGTCAGCAGCTGAACATCTTCCGCCTGGTGTGTTGGCTAGCTGGGCTTCAGAAGCTTCCAATTTCTGCAGACCTGTGAAATGGGACAGAAGAGGGGGGGGACCAGTTATATTATTATTTTATGATTTTCAGTTTTATACATTACAATAATTTTACAATCATTTTAGCATTTCAAAACTCAACTTCCTTCCCCCTCTTTCTGTGCTTCCTTAAATTTGTTTTTTCTATTTTCTGCATATTCCAAATTAACTTAATTTACTCATTTATTCATCTGCTTTAATCGTATACTCTTATAAAACTGCAAGCTGTTACAATAATCCTGCCAATGTTTACAGTTTATTTGTAAATATTCAATAAGCCATTTCCACTCTTTTATAAAAAGTTTGTCGTCTTGATTTCTTATTCTTCTGGTAAATTTCGCCATTTCTGCATATTCCATAAGTTTTTGTATCCATTCTTCTTTCACTGGGACTTCTTCTTCTTTCCATTTTTGGGCAAGTAACATTCTTGCCGCTGTAGTTGCATACATGAATAAATTTCAATATAGTTTGGGTAGTTCAATCCCGATAATTCCCAAAAGGAAGGCTTCTGGGGTTTTTTACAAACCTTATTTTAAACATCTTTTTCGATTCATTATATATCATTTCCCAGTAAGCTTTAGCCTTACTACAAGACCACAACATATGATAAAAAGAAACTTCTTTCTCTTTACATTTCCAACACTTATTTGATTTTGATTTAGGAAAAATCAATGATAAGCCATGTGCTTTGATACCAGGAACTTGCAACTCCAAGCAGCCACGAGGAGGACAAACACCCAAGCAACTCCTCTGTTAAGTATACCTTTAAGACGCTGTGTGGAGCGGCAGGACACACGCCCAAACTTTTCCGTTGAGCGCACACTCGTGCAGGGCAATGGTAAACAGACACTTTCCCCCTAGAGGAAAAGAAACAATCAGTTTGCAACTCTCAACAGTGCAAACCTTGCTCCCAGAAGGTCTCCCCCTACCCAGCTATCTCCCCAGGGTCACTCTGTACACAACTAAGAAAGTACTTTTGCAGGAAGACTGTCGGGAAACTGCGTTGAGCAGACAAAGAATCCAGTAGCCAGCCGGTGGTGGACCAGTGTGCCCAGCTGTTTTTATATCCATTTAGACTGGGGGGGGGGCATCCTTTTTCAGCCTAAGGGTCACCACTTCTTCTTCTTCTTCTTCTTCTTCTTCTTATTATTATTATTATTATTATTATTATTTTAACCTTTGCAATTAATTTGCCTAAGACTCAGGACAAAGCACCACGTTTCAGAAATCCCCCCCCCCGACAATTCCACCTTTGAAATCCCGGTCATGTCCGGGAAAATCCAGACATATGGATTTGACTGGCCAGTTAAACCAGGTGAGGGCAGTCCAGGGGTCAGCAAACTTTTTCAGCAGGGGGCCGCTCCACCGTCCCGCAGACCTTGTGGGGGGCCGACTATATTTTTTTGGGGGGGGGGGAATGAACGAATTCTTATGCCCCTCAAATAACCCAAAGATACATTTTAAATAAAAGCCCACATTCTACTCATGTATAAACACCAGGCAGGCCCCACAAATAACCCAGAGATGCATTTTAAATAAGTAAAGGGACCCCTGACAATTAGGTCCAGTTGCAGACAACTCTGGGGTTGCGGCGCTCATCTCGCTTTATTGGCCGAGGGAGCCTGCGTACAGCTTCCGGGTCATGTGGCCAGCATGACTAAGCCGCTTCTGGCAAACCAGAGCAGCGCACAGAAACGCCGTTTACCTTCCCACCAAAGCGGTACCTATTTATCTACTTGCACTTTGACGTGCTTTCGAACTGCTAGGTGGGCAGGAGCTGGGACCAAGCAACGGGAGCTCACCCCGTCGCGTGGATTCGAACCGCCAACCTTCTGATCGGCAAGTCCTAGGCTCTGTGGTTTAACCCACAATGCCACCAGCGTCCCCGTTTTTAAATAAGTAGACTCATGTAAAAACACGCTGATTCCCGGACCGTCCATGGGACGGATTTAGAAGGCGATTAGGCCGGATCCAGCCCCCGGGCTTTCGTTTGCCTACCCATGGGGTAGCCGATGGGTCTCAAACCCCCAGTGAGTTAGGGACTTTCCCTCCATGCGAAGACAGGCTCTGGTGGATTGAGCAGATGAGACCAATAATGGGCCCAACAGACAAGAAGGCAGTTTCTGCATGGGCTATAAACGGAAGTGAGGGATAGATGGGACTCAATAGCCTGGGAAGGTAGCCCATCTAGGAGAAGGAAAACTCTGATCCTAAAGCTCTACTGCCTTGCGGGATTTCCTGTGGAGAAGGCTAAGGAGTAAACCCTACACAGAAATCCAGAGTGGAGTCCCTAAGACAGTTGGATGGTGCCTTGTACACCTCCTTCTGGCAACTCCTGCAGCCCAGCTGGTGACCGATGTATTGCTCTGCTTTCCTTTGGTGGTCTTGCCGTCTGGGCAGCCCAGGATCTCCATGCACACTGCTCAGGCTTGTGCCCCAGGGAGGTCGCTTCGGTTCTGCAAACATAGTGGCTTGACTTCACCCCCAGAGGCTCACTCTATTAACTCTTGAGACAGATGGATGCCAACAGCAGCAGCAAGGAGCAGAGCAAGGTCCCACTTGTTGTATTCCAGAATGCCAATGGGCATCCTCAGCTGTTTCACACCAGACACCTTCCTTGGGATTGTTCCACCAACCCTCTGGAGATTGCAGCTGCCTCTTGCCACCTGAATGCCCACCTAGGAGCAATGCCCACCCAGGAAGTAGAGGAGTGTGAGAGGAAAGCGCATGTTGCTGGGCATTGAACCCAGCAGTGGAAACTGGGACAGACACCTGGTGACAGGGAGGGCACTACAGAAATCAAGACCTCCAATACTGTACTCTGCTCACCCTAGTGCTCAGATCGGCAGTCGCCCTTAGGGCCGAATGGCTCACGCCGATGTTCAACAGGATGCTAGCTTTGGCAGCGGGGTCGGGCACGAACCCGTCATCTGCAAATACAAGGGACAAAGTTGGCAAGCAGGCAGGCAGCCTCACCATTAGCTCCTGCTGTTCACATTCCAAAGGAAACCAAGAACAGCTCTCTGCGAAGCAGGTCGCGCAGCCTTTATAACCAGTTTGGTTTTGCTCTGTGTTATTCCCCACTTGCATGCTTTGTTCTCAGCAAGACATGAGAATTTCATGAAGCGGCAATTCAGGCACTGTACATGGAATGCCAACTGAAGGTAAGGAATACGGCTGAGACCATTATTATCAAAATGCACACGCAAGCTCTATCTTTCAGTTTTTGACTTTCATGCTAATTAGGGCTGGGTGATATATCAATAGGTCATCGAAAAGCAGTTTGAAGTCTATATTGTGATATCCATTTCATCGTCTTTAAGCTTACAATACAACACAAATAGTGCTGTGTGTATGTGCACGCGTGTGCGAAAATCACAATGTGGGAAAAACTGAAGCCAGACGATGCTTCTCTCAATTCCTGCAGCCTCTGTTAATTCTGACGGCTCAGCAGTCCCCTTTCTCATGTGGGGGGCAGCGAATCACAAGAATGGGAAAAATCACAATGCAGGAAAAACCGTGAAGCCAGCCAATGCCTCTACATAGCTCCATCCTTATTTCAGACATTGTAATATATCAGTATATCTCGCTGGTGATATAACATGAAGTTGAAAACCAGGTATCACCCAGCCCTACCATTTGCCTCCACATAGCTCCATTCTAATTTCATACGTTGTGATGTATCGGTATATCGCAATGTTTAAATGGAGATATTTTGCAGTGTTGGAAACCAGAATATCTCCCAGCCCTACTGCAAACGCTTGCCATCAAATTTTTATCTACACCCATAGTGGGCAAGAATGCAAGCCTGTTGGTGTGCTAAAAGGGGAGTGTGCTGGATTTTGGACAGTGCTGTGACGAACATATTCTTACGCACGGCATAGGCTCTTGAGGAGAAGTTGTTCTGGCTGATGGCACAGTGCATGAATCAGCTGGGAATGACAGCGTGTATGGTTTTTTTTACATTTTTTACATACAATGTTAAGTTAGGAAGAAAGAAAAGGGGGGGGAATGGTGAGTGGGGTGGGGTCAGGTGGCAATGCTTCTATTCTTCTGCTTAGGTATACGTGTGGGGTTTTGCATCAGTGTCACTTGTGTGGGTTCTCTTGTTGTATTTCTTTGGTGGTGAGAGAGGTTGGGGGTGTATGTTAACAGTTTAAACACTAAACTGTCAAATGAATTAAATGTGCCAAGTTTGGAAAATAATCTATTACCCATATCATGTCTTGTGAAGCAAGGGTTCAAAGTACAGTGGTACCTCGGGTTACATACGCTTCAGGTTACAAACGCTTCAGGTTACAGACTCCGCTAACCCAGAAATAATACCTTGGGTTAAGAACTTTGCTTCAGGATTAGAACAGAAATCGTGCTCCAGCGGCGCGGCGCAGCAGCAGTGGGAGGCCCCATTAGCTAAAGTGGTGCTTCAGGTTAAAAACAGTTTCAGGTTAAGTACGGACCTCCGGAACGAATTAAGTATTTAACCCGAGGTACCACTGTATCTTTCTCCGATTCAGGTTGTACAATCGGAGAAGGCAGGCAAAGTTGCTACAGCTTCACTGAAAAATGGCCGACTTGTGTTACAAGACCAACCAAGCTGTGAGAATGAGTCTGGGGCATGTGTGAAAGCTGTCTAACAAAGCTTTGCATAATGTACGCAAACACCCGTCTATGTGTCTGGACAGAAAAGAATGATGGTGCGGCCACTCACCTTTCCATGGTGTCCCTGTGATTTCCTTCTTCCCAGCCGAGTCACTGTTTTAAGAGCAGACAGGAATGAAAGGTTACACAAGCCTCAAAACAGCCAACATATGTGGAATACCTGTCTGCTGGCATCCCCCTTTACAAGGACACAACAACAATCACACACACACACACACCGTGGATTTATGCTGGGATGTATTATTGGCAGAGGGTAAAGGCACGATTCGGAGAGGAACAAGTCACAAACTTTTACATTCTTCCCATACCTACTGATCAAGGACGAAAGACACTCTGTAACCTTGGCTGTAGACATCAATCTGAAAAGTGCAGGCAAGGTGAGCATCTTCCCGAAAGAAGGTGGAGTACAGAAGAGTTGGAATGTAGGACTTTGCTGTGGAAGCGAGAAGGGAGATGGGGACCCTACCTACCACCACCACCCCGAGAAATATTGGGAAACCAAGGCAAGCAGAACAACAGAATTTTTTATTCGCTGTGCCTTGTGGCTTCACAATACCCTTGTGTTTCACAAATGACGCAAGCTGCCGCCCCAACTGAGCAGCCAGTTCTTTCCTCACCTTTGCGTTGCAATGCCCCCCTCCACCGTGCCGTTCAGACCTTCTGCCTCGGGCCTGGGGGCAGAATCTTGGGGCTTGCCCGCTCCCGGGTTCTCCGTGGGTCGGCTTGGCTTCACCACCTCCACCTGAAGCAGACGTCAAATAGAGTCAGAGATGCAAGGCAAGCAGCGCCCAGGCATTATTCCAGAGGAAAGAGGCACAAAGTCAGGCAAGACAGCAATCACGCAACAGGGCTAGCCATACAAACAGCGGTGTAGCTAGCTGCTTGGGAGCCCAGGGGGGCGTGGGCACCATGCACGGGGAGGAGGGAAGCACTGTAGTGCAGCTGAGGGCGAGGCAGCGGGAGGACCGAAGCTCCCCACTGCTGTTTCGGGCCGTGTGGAGCCCGCGTCACACCCAGGAGAGATGCGTGGCTCGGGCGCAGTAACAGTCCCAGGAGAGACGCTTGGCTTGGACGCGTGGCTCGGGTGCACCCCGCAGTATGGAGTCCAGTTCACCTCTCCCCCCCCCCCCCCGAGATACGCCTCTGCATACAGAAACACATTGCCAGGTTAAAAGGGAAGCCTATCAGCTTTGGGCAGGGGGTCATAGGTACAGATACAGCTGTCCACAGACCTCGCCGTCAATGCACACTAAAAGGTGGAGTTGAGAACGGTCCTCTACTAAAGTTTGTATGAAGGGCAGAACAATTATTTAAAAGTGTAAGAAGCACAAACAGCATCAGGGGTAGTGTGTGTTCTTAGGTGTGCTAGCAACCAGGACTGGATGCAAAAACGACTAGAACTACCACCTTTCAAAACATGCTAAAGTTTTCTTCCCCTTAATACCCTGGAGAAGGAGTTAAGTATTCTAAGCCGTTTGTGTGCAACAGAGAGAGAGAGAGAGGAGCCCTCCCAGCAATATCCACTGAGAAAGTGCAATGTTTCCTACAAAATGCTGCTGCATATGGTGCCACTTTGGAACAATAATTTTAGTGGAAATGCTCAGTACCCACTTTGGGCAGGACTTCTGGTGGGGAGGATTTAGGGGTTAAAAAAAAAAAGTCTGGACGGATGGTCAAGTTTGCATCCGTTACATTACACCCTGATCTCCCACCCTGCCTTATGCTTAGAGGACACAATCCCAATTCTTGCTTGCCAGGGGCTCTTCCAACCACAAGCCTACACAGTGCTACCTCGGAAGTCAAACGAAATCCATCCCGAAAGTCCGTTCGACTTCCAAAACGTTCAGAAACCAAGGTGCAACTTCCAATTGGCTGCAGGAAGCTCCTGCAGCCAATTGGAAGCGTCGCAAGGTGTTCGTTAACCAAGGTACGACTGTATGCATTTATTGGCTAGCTCAGCAGCTCCAAAGCAAACATCTTCAGAGGCAAGTTCAACCTTTTTCAACCTTTTTCACACCTTCCCAAATCCCAGCATTCCTTGCCAGGGTTGCCACCAGGTTGTCAGAAAAAATGAAGAAAAGCATCAGTTACCTACCCGAGGCCCAGGGTTCTCAAATGTAGCCAACCGCATCTTAAGCTGCTGAGTGTTCGAGGACTGTGGCTGATTCACATCTGTTGTGGGACAAGAGAGTTTTTTTTTAAGGAAACCGGGGGGGGGGGGAATGTTTCATTTGTCATTTGAGAGCAATTTCTCTACACCCATAAGCATTTGTTTTGAATATTTCAAAGTCCCACCAGATTGCAAACACAAGGCACTGCATGAAGACTCTGCCTGACTAAACCCTGTTCTCCCAGGTGCCAAGAAAGAAACCCAATTTCAGTCATACCTTTTGAAGCTGATCTGGAGATGTACGACATGCGAGGAAGATTTGCTGCAGAAGCCCCTGTGTATAACGATCCTCGACCAGTCTACAAGGAGAGAGAAATGGAAGTCCAGCATTCCCAAGAAAATGAAGTCCAGTATTTCCAAGTTACTGCAATGCTAGGCCTGTTTCCCCACATTACAGTCACCAGGACCCCATGCAATAGCTTCCATAGCTTTGAGAAAATGGCTAACTAGAGCAAGGCATGCATCTAGGCTGGATGGGCAGGCTCAGACCCAAGACAGTGTAAAATCAGGACAGAGTTATGCTTAATGGTTGTGTGACTTTAGCACCAGCATGGAACACCTTTCCCAATACGAAGACTGACTACTTTGTTCACATCCCTATGGGCCAGCCCGTCAGTTCTCGCTATTTATATAACGCTTCCGACAAAAAGTTGTTAAAGATGCCTTAAGAACAGGTTTCGACAAACATTTTAGCAAGCCTAAATGCCAGCACACAAAAATTAAACACAAGTGCACAACAGCACAGCACTGAAGCCGAAATCACAAAACGTAAGTCAGAATTGAATCCATACACAGACATAGACAGACAGAAGCAGATGGTCAAGCAGAATTTCCTTCACTGAAAGCTCCATCTCGTGAGCAATAAGGGCAGGGTCGGCCCAAGACATTTTAGCACCTGAGGCGAACCATGAAATGGTGCCCCGCTCCATGCCAGGAAAGAAGGGATGGGAGAACGTCTACATCAGGAACAAGAGGGAATATCGATCTACACTGGCATCCGTTGCCCCTGTCAGTGGCAGACCGGGCAAGTCTCAAATTTCAGCTGTGTGATGAAATTTCAGCCCTGTGAGACGCCAAAATTTGATGCTCCCACCTCTTACCCTCCATAGTTCAACATAGCGTGCTCCATCGTTCTAAATCATAGTTGTGGCGCCCTCTGCAGCACCCTCGAGGCTCCACACCCAATGTGACCAAACTGGTCGTGCTCTCCTAAATCTGCCTTTGCCCTTGTGGATCCTGCCGCCTGAAGCAGTTGCCTCGCCTTGCCTTATGAGTGGGCCGGCCCTGTGGAAGATAAACTAAAGACCTCCCTAAGCTCAGAGCTCTTGCCCAGAGCAGGGGAGAGACCCTGTGGCCTAACTCAAGATATTGTTGAACTCTCAACTTCCACCAGCTCCTGGCAACCTGCCCACTGGACAAGAATGAAGTTGAGGGGAGCCCAGCGGTATTTGGATGGCCACAGGTTCTCCACCCCAGGCCTAGAGGTATAAACTACGTACATACACATGCTGGATACATACATCTATTCCAGTGCTCCCCAAACTTGGGTCTCCAGCTGTTTTTGGACTACAACTTCCATCATCTCTAGCTAGCAGGACCCGTGGTCAGGGATGATGGGACTTGTAGTCCAAAAACAGATGGAGATCCAAGTTTGGGAAAACCTGATCTATTCCATTTCAACACAGCAGACAAGCACACGCCACACAAATGCACAACAGCACTGATGTATACAGTAGAGACTTACCCCAACAATGGTTGAGCATGCTCTATTCCCTCTTAAAGGAACTCGTCCGGCCAGGCTGGGCTTGTGGGCTGCACTTACCATGTGGTTTGTCAGCCCTGTGTTGGACAGGATGCTGGCAAGAGCCGCTACATCTGGCACAAACTCAACTGTGCTCACTTCTGCAAGGAAAAAAAAATGTTTGGGGATCATATCAGAAGCACAGAGAAGTAGGTAAGTGTAGTCGGTGGTGATGGGTAATCCAATGCGGTTGGTCAACCCACATACCTCAAAGCTGGTCTCCAAAGCTCTGAAATATTCTCCTAGCCCTGCATGGGACGTGTCCTCAAAATGGCAAGAGCCAAGTCCAAGAATGATACCAGGATCCCCAATAGGGGATTTAAGTTTAAGATCATCCAGAGTATAGTCTGTCACAAGCAAACAGCATGGTACAGTGCAGAAGGAGAAACTAGGTGTTTTTGCTTCTTTTTTACAGACTAAAAAATGGGTTAAAATAGGATAGAGATCATTGCAGGTTGAGAAACTGGTTTAAATCTAAATAGCTGAAGCAAATGAGCACAGGGAGCTATTAGAACCACCTTGCTGTTTATTCACACTCATAGGTTGCCTGGTAAACGGCCCAGTTTGATTCCTCCGTCAGATATCCCAACCTAAGAAACAAACCCTTTTTCCACTTGAGTAGCTTCATAAAAAAAGGTAAAGGACCCCGGATGGTTAAGTCCAGTTAAAGGTGACTATGGAGTTGCGGCGCTCGTCACACTTTTCAGGCCAAGGAAGGCGGTGTTTGTCCACAGACAGGTTTTCCGGGTCATGTGGCCAGCATGACTAAACCGCTTTTGGCGCAACGGAACACTGTGACGGAAACCAGAGCGAATGGAAACGCTGTTTACCTTCCCGCTACAGTGGTACCTATTATCTACTTGTACTGGTGTGCTTTCGAACTGCTAGGTTGGCAGGAGCTGGGACAGAGCAACAGGAGCTCACTCCGTCGCAGGGAAGTTGCATTAATCCACTAGTGAAAACCCAAACATGCAATTTTGTTTTCCCTTCAAAGACATCGGGTCTTTCAAAACCAATAATGAGTCTTCTCAGCTGTGATCAGCCGCAGTTTAAGCACCCTGTTGCACCTTCGTGTGTGTGTGTGTGTGTGTGTGTGTGTGTGTGTTTCAGGTTATCCTTGTAAGGAACTGAGCAAGGTGGCACATGCTTTTTGTAGTAAAACAGTGAATATGCAGAAAAGGCTGATAGCCACGCAACCACCCTTTCTACCTCAAGATCTTTATTTGTGCTACATTAGAATCAAGGGCTTTTCACAATGACTCTAAAGCAGCTTATCTTTACCAACAGTCATCAGAGGCAGGTTAGGCCAAGACCACCTAACAAGGATATAGAACAAGATTTTCTGCATCGAGCGCCGTATTCCAGCTACCCATTGTCCCCAGGCGGAGGTCAATTCACCTCCCTTACATTTTATGATTTAGCAAGCAGCAGAGCCCAAACAACCAGAGCTCAGCCAAAAACCCATCAGCATGGACCGCTCATTCTATCAAGTTAAGGCCAATCGCAAAACATGGTTCACAATGATTCATCTCTGCCAAAAGAAACAGCAGCAGCAGCACACTAGGAAGATCCTTTGCTGTCGTGATCAATACCTTTGCCATTGAGCACGTGACCCTCATTCCTGTGACCCGATGTGCTCAGATGCATCTCTCCTAGGGGTTCTCTAGAAAGGATCTTGGGCATTAACCCAGATGCAGGATCCACCGCAGCAGCATCAGGTACTAAACCAGAGTGAGGCATCTTGCTCATCTCGATCCCTTTCCTCCTCGCGTTGGATGGACATGCCTAGAGAGAAAAGGAGAGAGACAAGGATTCTACTCGTTCCAGTGCTATGTTCCAATCAAAAGGCTTGTCGCCATTCAGGAAAGGCCCACCGAATTCTGGAAGAGGGCAAGACTGCAAGTGGGAAGAAGACAGGCTCCCTGTGAGTGAGGCCATTCTATTGTCAGAACAATAACTCCTGAGTCCCGGTGCTCAGCACTACCTTTGCTGGACAACCAGACCCCCAAGGTATACAGTATTTCCCAAACTTGGGTCTCCAGCTGTTTTTGGATTACAGTTCCCATCATCCCCGACAACTGGTCCCACTAGCTAGGGATGATGGGAGCTGTAGTCCAAAAACAGCTGGAGACCCAAGTTTGGGGAACACTGATTTAGATAAAAGGCAAGGAAGGGGAGATGCGATAGATAAGATAGATAGGGTATGATTATGCACGCATTGAAAAAGTGGGTGGATAAGAGGTACTTATTCACTTCCACAAGAAGCAACGATGGCCCCCAACTTGGAGGGTTTTAAAAGAGCACCAGGCAAAGTCAAGGAGGACAAAGCTATCGACGGCTACCTCCAATATCAAAGGCAGTACATCTCTGAATACTAGTGGCTGGGAATCGCAGGTGAAGAGAGCACTATTGTGCTCATGTCCTACTTTCAGATTTCCCATAGGCTTCTGGTTTGTTGCTTTGAGAACAGAATACTGGACCAGATGGGCCATTGGGCCTGATCCTGCAGGGCTGTTCTTATGGGGAATGCTGACAGCCCTCTGCACTAAGGCTGTACATCAGAAGTGTTTGGCAAGGAAAGTGCTCCAAAACAGCAAATGGGGATGCAAGGACTGGTTTGACAAACTAAGCGGGGATAGGATCTAGAAATGGGAGATCAGCACAGGGCATTTCCGACTGCTGAAAATTCTACCTAGGTTTCTATTTGCAGCCTTCGGCAGCTACCATCCAAGCAGATTTCAAGCTTGTTCTGAAAACCTCGAGGGCTAGAAACCATTTCATTAAAAAGTGAATACCAGCACTGAAAGAGTGAGAGGCTGCAACAAGCAGGATGCAACACAGGTAACAATTTTCTCAAATCGGAGAGGGAATACCTAGCCTAAGCCAAAGGCAGCTCCACCACACTCACCTGATGAAGGTTATTCTGTGGCTGCTGCCGAGACTGCTTCACCTCTCGTGGGATTCTGTTTTTGCGCAGCACTGGGATCTTGCTGCTGCTCAGGGCACCTGCAGCAAGCGATGCACTTTTCTCCCGTCCTTCTCCTGCAGATGTCACAGGAAGGGGCAAGACTTCTTGCAAGTTTTCCTTCCCAACTCGAGCCATTTAGAATTCCTGTGCTGATCCTACTGTCAAATCCTTTGTGGCAGTATTTGCACCTACGGGTAGGGGAGAGAAAAGGCTTTTGAAGCAAGGAAAGAGAGTGAGAGGCACAAGGAAGCCACCTATGGGGCAAGACTAATGCAAATAATACTATTTGTTCCCCACAACAAATGCTTGGTTTGCTGTTTTTTACCTGGAGAGCACAGCAGGCTAACTGTGTGCCTTCAAAAGTGTACTGAAGAGCTTTAACACAACCAGGTACCCAAACTGGACTAAATAGCAAACCGTCCCTTCCTTTGCCAGCTGTCACCTGGCAAAATTCTTTTCAGCAGGCTGTTAATACAAGGTGTGACTGGGAGCTTTGGTGAATGGTCACAGAAATCAGACAGTGAGAAATATTCGAACATACAATCAGCATCGGAAACCCACGAAATGCTCACAGTTGTGTACGGAGATGAAGCTGTAACTCAAAAGACAGTGTATGAGTGGTTTAAGCATTTCCGTGAAGGGTGGCAAACCATTGAAGATGACCCTCCGTCTGGCAGACTGTCAACGAGCAGAACTGTGGCTAATGCCAACAGTTTGTGAGTTATTGATGTGGGATTGGCGTTTGTCCATCCTAATGATGGCACAAGAATTGCACATTCCACAGGAAATCATTACTGAGCTTACTGAATTGTCCCACCCTCCATATTCTCCCGATCTGGCCCCACTGGATTTCTTTCTTTTTCCAAAACTGAAATCTGCACTGAAAGGGCACAGATTTCCCAACATTTCACAGGCCCAAGCTGGTTTAACAAGGGAACAGAAAGCAGTATGAAAAGAGGACTTCTCCAAAAGTTTCCAACGGTTCTACGGATGTTGTCAATGGTGCATTGTATCAGAGGAAGCCTGCTTTGAAGGCCTATAAGGTATGTATGTTCAAATATTTCTCGCTGTCCAATTTCTGTGACTATTCACTGAACTTTCCGGTCACCTTGTAGAAAAGGGAAGGGAAACAGTGCACGGCAACTAATTGTCGGCTCTGTTAAGCAGCCAGGTTCTCCACTCCATCAGCTATCACCAGTCAGCAGTCATTCCATCAGGTTGCAGCAGAGGAGGAAAGGAAAGTTTTGTTGGAACACTTCATTAGAACAGCTGAGAGACGGGCAACTTTGTATCCAAGCTTGCTTATTTCCTCCTCCCTCATGACCCATTTTACTTCAGTGCTACGACTTTTATAGATTGCATGCCCAAGGGTAGGTACTGCCATTTTTCTTCTTCTATTTTTTTAGTGATTTGCAAGCTAGTCTGGGAACCTTTCTTGGCTGAAGCATGGAATACAAATTCCTTCTTTAAATGAATAATTTAAATAAACTGCTGGCAAAATTCCCTCTTTTTTGTGAATATTCTATAACAGCTGCACCAAGATAAGGTCCAGGAAGCTTCACCACTAGCAAACTAATATCCTTTAGCACATTAATGTACACCTAGAGACCCCAAACCAACGCTACAGGCCGTTTTCAGAAGGCCATCCAAGAAGAGGAATGGGAGGCAAGGCAAGAGCTGGTCTTGTTCAGGGCCATGGCATCTTTTGTATAATAATTTATTATTAGCTTCCAATTGCAATAACCCAATAAAAGCCTGATTGTCACAATACCAAATTATAATACAATCAATGACGCCAATTGTTCAGATGCCAAATTGTGTTATTTTGCTCCGCCGCCGCCCCCCCGCCCGCCTCATGCTAGAATTGACGGTTTGATCATTTACTTTAACTCTGCCTTCCAAAAACATATCAATTCCAATGACACACCAGTCAGAATAACGAACCCTTAGTACCGCAGCTGCAGTTTTTTTTTTAACGACTTCCATTGGCGTTTAACGGTCCTACAACAAGTGATGGAGAAAGTCAAACTCTCTCTTTCCTTCTTCTCGCGTGCGGCTATTAGTCTAGAATAATTCTGCCTTTGACGTGACGGCGGGCGTCCGGGAAAATCCGGCAGCATGGCAGCGGCCCCCACCCGCTGGCCCCTTCAAACTCTTCGATACCGAAGAACCAAAGCTCGACTCGCGGGCCGCCTACCGAATCCCGGGGGCCAAACGTTTCGCAGGACAATTCGGAGCTCAGTAAAGGCTTCCATTCCTTCATTCCCTCAGCCCCCTTTCCTTGAACCCCGGACCCTCTTCTCTCGCGCAGCCCTCCTTCCTCTCGCCCCCCCCCCCCGCCCACCTGCCTCCGGCCAACTCCTTTCCTTTCCTCCTCCTCCTCCGCCGCCGCCTCCTTCTCCTCAGGCGAGGCCGTTGACGCGCAGCCATCCGCCTCTCCCGAATCAAGTTCATAAAGCAGCGGGACGAGCTGATTGGCCTCTCCGCTCCCTCACGTGGCCCGGCGGAAGGGGCGGGGCCGCAGGGAAAGAGCCGCGGGTGGGGCCGGAAGCCGCCGGCTCGCCGAGCTTCAGGAGAAGGAGGAAGCGGACGTTGCGTCAGGACCGAGTTCCGGAAGGCCTCTCGTTCACGCTCGTGCACCACGCGCGCCTCAATTCTCGAGTCAGGTACTGCGGTTTTCACGGGCGGGAGTGTTTCTGAGCATGTATAAGTTCGCTAGTAGTGGCAGGAGAAAGAGAGGGAGGGAGGGAGGAGCTAGTTTGGGTTGTCCATGAAGAGGGCCGGATGGGAGCGGCCGCCGGGACCACGTAACACTGGTCTGGAAAGGCCTACACTGGCTCCCAGTATGTTTCCGAGCACAATTCAAACCGTTGGTGCTGACCTTTAAAGCCCTAAATGGCCTCGGTCCAGTATACCTGAAGGAGCGCCGAGGACCTTTTGGCGGTTCCCTCACTGCGAGAAGTGAGCTTATAGGGAACCAGGCAGAGGGCCTTCTGGGTAGTGGCACCCGCTGCCCTGTGGAACGCCCTCCCACCAGATGTTAAGGAAATAAACAGCTATCTGACGTTTAGAAGACATCTGAAGGCAGCCCTGTTTAGGGAAGTTTTTAATGTTTGATGTTTTATCGTGTTTTTTATATTCTGTTGGGAGCCATCCAGAGTGGCTGGGTACAAATAATAAATTATTATTGTTATTATATTATTATACTCCCTGGGTGACCTTGGTCATGTCCTGTCTCTCACACGGCAGATGTGAGGATAACATGCGGTGGGTGGGTGGGGAATCCCATCTGAATGCCATCCTGAACTTACTAGTGAAAGAGTGGGGTTGTTGGGGGGGGGGTTGGAAAGAATTGCCAGCTTTTCACACCCTATTTCTGACAGGTTTCTCTGCCTTCCAAAATATATAAAAACATAAGAAAACATTAATCATTAAAAAATTTCCCTATACAGGGTTGCCTTCGGTCGTATGGTTGTATAGTTACTTATCTCCTTGGCTTGGGGGTTGCATAACTCCATACATGGGTGTAACCAGGATTGGGGGGGGGGCAGAACCTCAGATTTGTATTATGGTGATTTGTATTGATTTTTACTGTTGGGGGGCAGGGGGACAGCTATGTCCATGATTCCATATCCTCCCAACATTTCTCCAGTAGAGACATCCTACATTACTCCCCAATATTTCTCAGATGAAAGTAGGGAAATCCTCAGGAAAAGCGGGACATTGCACTGCACTGTACAGTTCCTAGTTTGAAAAAACATGACAACACTCTAGAAGACTCAGCTACACAGATGCAAATAAAACATTTTAAAAGTGTTGTAAAGTGAAATATACAAATGAGACACTAGATAGCGACAGCGATCCATCCCAAATTCAATGTCTTTTTCAAAACCTTTGTTTAAAAAGCATTTTGTCCTTTTTTTCTTTTCACGTTGGTAGCCTGAGACCGTTGTGGACGCCATGGCCAAAATCAAAGCCCGTGATTTGCGAGGGAAGAAGAAGGAAGAGCTGTTGAAGCAGCTGGATGACCTCAAGGTGGAACTCTCTCAGCTGCGGGTGGCCAAGGTGACCGGTGGAGCAGCCTCCAAACTCTCAAAGATCTGGGTGGTACGCAAATCCATTGCCAGAGTGCTGACCGTCATTAACCAGACCCAGAAGGAAAACCTCAGGAAGTTCTACAAAGGCAAGAAATACAAGCCTCTCGACTTGCGGCCTAAGAAGACACGTGCCATGCGGCGCAGGCTAAACAAGCATGAAGAGGGTATGAAGACCAAAAAGCAGCAGCGAAAAGAACGCCTGTACCCGCCTCGGAAATACGCTGTGAAGGCATGAGCCCGAACTGCAGCATTCTGATCCTCTGACCAGCATTTTCCTATTAAAGGTGTTTTGGCTGTTTAAAAAAAAAATTAAAAAGCATTTTCACAGCGTTTTTTATATGTGTGTTGATTCCACCTATGTTATGTTTTGAATCGTGGTTGCAAATTTCATAGTGATAACTTTGTTCTCCCTTTTTTGAAAACTGCTTTAACTTTCCAGGTAGCGTGGCAATGACAGGGAATGGAGGGTTACCGTATTTTTTTCCGTGTATAAGATGAGGTTTCCCCCCAAATTCTTAAAGTTTAAAATTGGGCGTAGTCTTATACTCTGAATGTTGCAATTAAACATATAAATAAATTGTAATTAATTTTTATTTATTTATTTATTCCCCAGCCACTCTGGCCAGCTTCCAACAGAACACTAAAATACAATAACCTATTAAACATTAAAAGCTTCCCTAAACAGGGCTGCCTTCAGATGTCTTCTAAAAGTTTGATAGTTATTTTTCTCTTTGACATCTGGTGGGAGGGCGTTCCACAGGGTGGGCGCCACTACCGAGAAGGCCCTCCGTCTGGTTCCCTGTAACTTGGCTTCTCGCAGGGAGGGAACCGCCAGAAGGCCCTCGGCGCTGGACCTCAGTGTCCGGGCAGAATGATGGAGGTGGAAACGCTCCTTCAGGTATGTGCCATACATTGTCTGGCAGTTGTAGCTCCTTGCAGGGGAGGGGCAGGGCGCACTGTGGGGCCTCCGGAGTCTGCCTCCCCCCTCCCACTCAGGCACCCTACAGCTGGAGGGGAGGCAGCGCATGGGTGAGATGACTTTGATCCCCTCGGCCAACTGGAGTGGTTCACGGAGCCGGGCAGCTGAGTGTGAACGAGGGCGTGTCCCCGGTGGCCGGGAACTGCAGAAGTCAAATTGATTTTTTTCTGCTCCGCTCTCAAGCATCCAGGGGAGCGAACTGCACTCTGCCCCTTGGGCGTATGCAGGCTCTGCGCTCCCTACCCCCCCCCAACTGTAGGGCACCTGAGTAGGAGGGAGTAGGCAGACTCTCAAGGCCCCGCGGTGTGCCCGCCCCTCCCCTGCAAGGAGCTCAGTGATGGCATCCAGGGTGGGCTTAGAGGAACAGTCGCCATTACACAGCTTGCCTCACTGTTTGATGTTTAAAATATTTCTTAATTTTGGGCTTAAAAAATTGGAGTCATCTTATACATGGGAAAAAAAGTGGTCACTTTTCAGTAGTGTTTACTAGTATGCTGTGCATCCACACTGAACCACAGTTTGTTTTGATATGATGCATGAACTGTGTGCCACCTTTTTTTTATTATGCCCCTTTCCCTTATGGCTTTTTAAAAGTTAAAGGGACCCCTGACCATTAGGTCCAGTCGTGGCCAACTCTGGGGTTGCGGCGCTCATCTCGCTTTATTGGCCAAGGGAGCCGGCATACAGCTTCCGGGTCATGTAGCCAGCATGACTAAACTGCTTCTGGCGAACCAGAGCAGCACACAAAAACGCCGTTTACCTTCCCGCCGGAGCGGTACCTATTTATCTACTTGCACTTTGATGTACTTTCGAACTGCTAGGCTGGCAGGAGCAGGGACCGAGCAACGGGAGCTCACCCCGTCGCGGGGATTTGAACCGCCGACCTGTGGTTTAACCCACAGCACCAGCTGTGTCCCTCTTATGCCTTTTACAGCAGCACAAAAATTAGGCAGGTGAAACTTTTTCCAACATGCAAATGGGCAAATGGTGGGGAAGAGCAAACGAATACATTTGAGTTCAGCAGGAGTCGCAGGAAGACCACCAAGCATGAGAGAGAAAGAGAGAGAGAGAAAGCACAGAACACAGAGGACTTCTCAGTATGTTGTTTATTGGCTGGTTGGAAGCAGTACATGGCCCATTTCACACAATGGCCACTTGTCATCAGATAACTGTCACTAGTCAGGGGAGATCAAGAAGCACCAGAAACAGAGGTCTACTGCAACCATTCATAAGAGTCTCCATGTACCCTGTTTCTTCGTAGGAGTGTGGGAGACAAGGAATTGTCCCGTGGGGTTGATACTACATCATTATTTCTCAAGCTAGACATCAGTGAGGCAAGCCAAGTTGTAAGGGAAGGATGTTCTGGAAAGCCAGTTGTATGTGCGCATGCTGGGAAAGAGCACAAAATAGTGGAGTTACTGGGGAACCGGCATAAAATAGTGGGGGAGAAAGAGGCAGAGAGGAGCAAGTTTGGGTTGTTCATGAAGAGTGCTATTAGCATGGTGGAATTAGCACCATGAATTCTTACCAGGTCTGAGTAGGAATATGGGAAACAGGCAACATGGCTATCAAAAAGAGGGAAAATCAGCACCAAAACCCAAAAAGGGGGTCCCTGTTTTCAAAGCCTATTATCAAAAAGGGATGATAAGGAAGAGATGCAAGCAAGGCTGAAATGGTTATCAAGCTGCAGAACTCAGTAACGTGACAGCAGCATCGTATAAGCGACTAATCCCAAAGAAATTCTTATAATACAGCCCAGCCCTATACCAAATTGGATACATGCCAGACTGCATGGGATTGCAGGCTTTTAGGTCCGAAAGTCCTTTTGCTGTTTTCTCCAACTGAGAATTTTAAAACCAGAGCATATTTGCAAATGTTCCTGGACGTCATGACTATTATAAGACTGGATCTAAAACAAAAGGAAAAAAATCCCTGATTGGTGTCCCAAAGGAAGGGGGTGTAGGGAGAAAATGGGTGTCATGGCTACTATAAATGAGTACTCTTCTTTATTTTGAACCTTCAGTGACAACCTCAGTCCTGAAATGTCAGATTTCTTGCAATCAAGAGTAAATAATGAAACACTTTTTGTCAGCTAGATGCTTACAAAACACTAAATGCCTCTGCCATAATTATTTGTACTCAAAGGCAACAAATAGATTCAAGTGCTAGGACCCCTGTAGCAGGATGGACAGATACAATTGACAGGATCCAACCCAAAAAGCTGCTGTGGCCTCGCATTATACTGCCTTGGTGGTTGAGTCTGTCGCATTGCACCCCTCTAACAGCTAAGCCCAAAGTGTGTCATGAGAAGCCACATTTTCCTGTGTGTATTATTTTCAGAATAGCTGCCCAGACAAATGAATCATAAAAGTATTACTTACAAGGTGGTAAGCATTTTATTCATGTGATAGGGTAACATTAAACTGAAGAGAGAGAAAAGCAGAAAAGCATTTTTCTTATTATCTCTGGTCCTAGTGCTGTGGGACTACAGCACTAAGATCAGAGATGAGCTTCTGCCTGCTGATGCATCATCAACTTTGAGTCATATGACATCAGGTGATTGACAGATGGGCAGTCCCACCCACCTGTCAAAATGGTCCACAGGGGGTGAGTCAGTTCTGGATTGGAGGGTATGAAATGTTAAGGGAAAACGAGAGAAAGAAGGGGGAAAGATCAGGTGACAGAGAGCTGAAGTGGAAAGACAGGATGTCAAAGAAATCTGAGTATGTGTGCAGCTATGAGAAAGCTGGATTTAAGGGAAGAAAAGTTGAGAAGCCACTGTTCTCCAGGAGGAGAACCGTTCAGGTCATTATACAGTGGTGCCTCGCAAGACGAAAAGAATCCGTTCCGCGAGTCTCTTCGTCTTGCGGTTTTTTCGTCTTGCGAAGCAAGCCCATTAGCGGTTTAGCGGATTAGCGCTATTAGCGGCTTAGCGGGCTTAGCGGATCAGCTGATAAGCGGCTTAGTGGCTCAACAGATCAGCTGTTAAGCGGCTTAGCGGATCAGCTGATAAGCGGCTTAGTGGCTTAACGGATCAGCTGTTTAGCGGCTTAGCGGATCAGCTGATAAGCGGCTTAGCGGCTTGGGGAAAAGGGGGGGGAAAGGGAAAAAACCCCGCAGGAACTCGCAAGACATTTTCGTCATGCGAAGCAAGCCCATAGGAAATTCGTTTTGCGAAGCACCTCCAAAACGGAAAGCCCTTTCGTCTAGCGGGTTTTCCGTCTTGCGAGGCATTCGTCTTGCGAGGCACCACTGTATATCATGTTTCGATGGGGCATCTGCAGGAAAAAATGATGTTTTCGGAGGGAGTAAAACCCCCTTCAAAAGTGGATCAGGCTACTTTGTCACCCAAAACAAGAAGGGAAAAAGTGCACATTTTGCCTTTTATCTCTCATGCTAAAAATTTGCTCTTTTTTGAAAGAAAGAAAGAAAGAAAGAAAGCTGGGAATCAGAATTATTGTTCGGGGTGGCAGCAATTCCGCTTTGCTCCATTCCTACAGACACCCATGGATTAGCATTACCTAATCAAAACTTATTCATGTCAAGGAATTGTGATGGATGGATGGATGTGTGTGTTTCCCCCCCGTTTATTAGATATCACAGGCATACCTTGGTTGATGAATGCCTTGCAACTCAAACGTTTTGGCTCCCGAACGCCGCAAACCCGGAAGTGAGTGTTCCTGTTTGTGAACGTTCTTTGGAACCCGAATGTCCAATGCGGATTCCGATTGGCTGCAGGAGTTTCCTGCAGCCAATCGGAAGCCACGCCTTGGTTTCCAAACATCGAATGGATTTCCGGAACGGATTCCATTCGACTTCCGAGGTACGACTAGTTATTTTAACCGTGTTAGCTCAGATTGTACTAAAAAGCCACGCCTAGGTGTTTCCCTGTATTCCAAGGACTCTTTGTTCAGCTGCCTTCTTCACGCCTATGGGACTAACCTGTATGTGATACAGATGATGGGGAAGTCCAGCTGTGTTCTTGCCTGATAAGACCAGAACCATCCCTTGTGGAAGTTGCAGAAAGTGCAGGCAGGGGGTTGCACAAGAAGATAAGAAAGGAAGCAAAGGAGAGCAAGACTGTGTGGGAGGTCACCCTAGGGGATTGCTATTGTAGCTATGGCCTGCCTAATGCTGTTGGACTACAACTCCCACAATCCTTTGCCCTGCTGGATAGGGCTGAAAAAGTCCAATACCTGGGGGTGGCGGGAGGACACAAATCAGCCCGTAAGAAGTTCAGCCTTTGAAAAGTTGTCTTTCTCAAGGACCACATTTTGGCTGATTGGAGAAAATTAATTTAATTTAACCCTATGGATTGCCTCTAAAGAAGAGGCAAGGAAATATCGCTTTAAGGCTGTGGGATTTACTTCTGAGTAAACAGTTAGAGGATTGCCTGTTAAGATTGTCACTAGGACCCTTATGATAAACGAAACCCCATAAAAGCCAGGGTGGGGGGAAAGCTTTTTTAAAGAGCCTCCTGCAAAATCTGATTTCTCAAAAAAAATGTAATTCTGTTTTCTAGCTTGGGTACACGTCTGAAGATTTGGAGGACAAAATAATGAGAAATGGAATTTGTATAGTGCTTTCAGATGCTCTAAGCATATCACGTGAATTAGCTCATTGTAATTCTTGACTTAGAGGGCTGCTGTAAGAATTGCAATGAGATAATTCACGTGATGTGCTTAGTCAGTAGCATTATCTTCCCATACTGCAGATGGGGAGGGAAAACACTGAGGCTTAGAGAGAACAACTTTGCCTAAGGCTACCTAGCGAGTTCATGGCAGAGGTGGGGTTTGAACCGGGGACTGCTCCATTAACATAGCTCACTTTCTTAGCCAATATGCTACACCAGCTCACACTTACATTCTTGATTAAGGAGATTCTCATTCATGAGAATCCCTGAAAGCGGCTGTTTTGGTCTCAGTGGCCGGTACGCAGAATCAGTATCAAGGCCAACCGGGGTGGGCAGTAAACAACGGACTGCGACCAAACATTTGGTCCTCTTTGGTGTTTCTAGGCTGACTCAACTTGCCAGATGTGAAAAGCTTACCAGCTGCAAAGCCATGAATGCTTTATGGCAGGCACCCCCAAACTCGGCCCTCCAGCTGTTTTGGGACTACAACTCCCATCATCCCTAGCTAACAGGACCAGGGGTCAGGGATGATGGGAAGTGTCATCCCAAAACATCTGGAAGGCCGAGTTTGGGGGTGTCTGGCCTACAGACTTGATCTCTCAATCGCCACCAGGGTTAGGCTCTACACACAACTGGCAGATCTGTGCCAGCCTAGCCTGGGCTTTCATGGATTAACGCCCGACGCCCTGTAGAAAGGCAACGCTCCTCTTCTTTCACGACAACACTGGCTGGAACGGGCAAGGCGAGAGACTGTGTGGTTAAGAGAGGTAGGAGGCAGCTGGAAGAGGAAAGCGGGGATGGATAAACTCCCCGCTCTCCAGCCCGTGTGTGGTTATTGCTGGGGTCGCAACCAGGCTGCCCCCCAGGAAGGCTAGAAGTGCACATTGAAGGAGCAGGGCTGGCTGGGGAAGCCTGGTACAGTGGGGGAAGGCGGTCGGAGGTCAGAGGTATCATTCACCATCATCATAAATAAGGCCAGTGCGGCTTGGGGGGGGTCTGCTGCTGGGACTTCTGGACATTGGATAGCTGAGTGCCCGTCTCCACGGCATTGGGGGTGGGGGGAAGGAGGGAGGAGGTGCCTGGGGCTCCCCAAATCACTTCTCTATCTCAGCTCTCTGCTCTTTCCTCGATTCAGTCACCACCTGCAGGAGACAAAATGCAAAAAACCGATAGAAAACAGGTCAGAGCCGAGAGGGAAAGGCAAGACCGTCTGATAGGTATATTGCTGAGCGTGGAATAGGCGACACTCACAGGATCATAGACAGGGCATTCCACAGTTCCTTGCAAGGAACACACCTGAGTGCTACATTTGGGATAGGGTTCATTTTGTTGTTGTTTAAACCAACAAAAAATGTTTCTAGGCCTCAAGATGGTCAGCCATGGTTTGAGCAGTTGTGAGTTAAAAGCTGGAGGGAGGAGGCTGGGTGGGATTTCTTGGCGTTAGTGGGGAGACTTCAGTCTCTTGTATACCGCTCTGCCTCTCCCCGTGGCTGATGTAAAGAGAAAAAAGTTTATGCTAATATATGTAAATTTGCACTACTTGCCACCCCAAATCCATGTTTCTGTCTCCCACCCCAAATCCACAACACACAAGAGAATGGGTGCCAACCTGAATAAAATATTGTGGGGGGCCAGGTAAGCCCCACCCCACACAATCGATCACATGACGTGGCACACACACACCATTTAATTGAGAATGCCCATCAACTTTGTGGGGTATCAGCCCCCTCAAATATTTTACTGTGGAGGTCAAGGCCCCTAGGAGTTGGCTCCTATGCATGAGAAACTGTTTGCATTTCCTGCAGAGTTCATTTTTGCACTGCCTCATCTGCACCTACACTGAAGCTATTGTGCCGCACCCTGCACAGTCATTTTGTGTCGTGTTGTGCCCCCACCACATGCATTTCAGAACTGGGACCTGCAGCACTTCCTCAGAATTCCAGTTGTGTCCACTTCTCCCCACCCCACCCAAAAAAAAGCTTGCAGATCCCTGTTACGCAGAGACCAGAACTTAGAGTACCTTGTTGAATTTCTTCCCCTCCAAACACACACGCACACAACCCTGGGCAGAGGCAATTCAGTCTCAGCTCTACACAGCTACATGTCGGGTGCTCATATAACACTTCCCACATGTAGAGCCACACAATCTTGACCGGCCAAACTGATTCCATAATAATTGTCTAGAGCCAATAGCATTGGGTCTCCTCCTGGAGAAAGGTCCCAACTGCAGGAGAGGATTGAGCCTCCTGAGCTGCAGTAAACCCGCGAAGAAGAAGAAGAAGAAGAAGAAGAAGAAGAAGAAGAAGAAGAGATAAAACATCAAACATAAAAAACTTCCCTAAACAGGGTTGCCTTCAGATGTCTTCTAAAAGTCAGATAGTTGTTTATTTCCTTGAAATCTGGTGGGAGGGCGTTCCACAGGGCAGGTGCCACTACCGAGAAGGCCCTCTGTCTGGGTCCCTGTAACCTCGCAGGGAGGGAACCACCAGAAGGCCCTCAGAGCTGGACCTCAGTGTCCAGGCTGAATGATGGAGGTGGAGACACTCCTTCAGGTATACAGGGCCGAGGCCGTTTATGGCTTTAAAGGTCAGCACCAACACTTTGAATTGTGCTCGGAAATGTACTGGGAGCCAATGTAGGTCTTTCAGGACCGGTGTTATATGGTCTCGGCAGCCATTCCCTGTCACCAGTGTAGCTGCAGAATTCTGGATTAGTTGTAGTTTCTGGGTCACCGTCAAAGGTAGCCCCACGTGGAGCACATTGCAGTAGTCCAAGCGGGAGATAACCAGAGCATGCACCACTCTGGCGAGACAGTCCATGGGCAGGTAGGGTCTCAGCCTGCGTGTCATCGGAGCTGACAGAGGCTGGGAATCTAAGCAAGCCGAGGGAGATAAGGACATTGGAATGCGGACTGGAATGTGAGGAGGAGGAGGGGCAGTCCAGTGGCAGTGTTTCAGAGAGCAGACAAGCAGAAGATAGCAAAGCCCTAAACACCAATACTAGCTCAGAGACAGAAGGGGAGAGGCTGGGAATAGCTAGCCCAAAGACTCGGAGGCGGGAAAAGGTCAATGAGAGGAGGGCAAAAGAACAGAAGCGGAAGGGTTTTTTCCACTGTTGGAAGAAGAGGAAGGGGCGGAGTTTAGACTGGCAACTGCTAACTTGGAGTCAGACACAGAGTGAAGGAGCTCCGGAGTGATTTATGTGTTTGAGCAATAAACCTGAGATAATTACTGCCGGTGTCTCGCTTCTGTGGGAGAGTCAAGCCATTACACTGCGTACCAGATGGAACTGGTAGACATCTGCCCTGGACACAGAATTGACCTGCGCCTCCATGGACAGCTGTGAGTCCAAAATGACTCCCAGGCTGCGCACCTGGTCCTTCAGGGGCACAGTTACCCCATTCAGGACCAGGGTACTTCTGTCTTGTCAGGATTCAACCTCAATCTGTTAGCCGCCATCCATCCTCCAACTGCCTCCAGACACTCACATCAGGCAAACCTGCTTCCCCTTTGCTCTAGGCCTAGATGCAGTCCTCTCTATAGAGAATTTCTCCTGCTTAAGACTACACTGAGGTCTGGGCGCTTCTATCCTCCTCCTCAATTTGGGAGAAAGAAAGGTAAACAACTTGCCTCTCCATCCCGGGTCTCGATGGTTTTGATCAGCACTGTCTTCCTAGAGTGGCTCTCCACCGTTGGCTCTGGCTCTGAAACTACAAGGGAGGGGGCATTCAGAAGAGAGGGCATGGCAGTTTCAATACAATATGCACCTCCCCCTGGATCACCAGCACCCCCCAAAAAAAATACTCCAGTCCAAGCTGGGTGAAATCAGAAGGGATTGGAAGGAGGGAGGAGAGAGGTGTCATTTATTCCTGCCAGTTCCCAAGGAAAAACAGCAATAAAAGCTAAGCTCAGGTGTCGTCTGTGGTGGGTGAGGAAGATGATGTTAGAATTCCTACTCCGTGATTGTAGTCATGGGATTGTTGTCTATCACATGATGACGGTGTATGTTTTGACTCCACAGAGTGGGAAGTGACGGAAACAGGATGCTTGTGTTACTGTGTTCCGTGAAGTGGGACTATTGTCCTTTGTTCATTCTCTTTGCTGTCTGATGCTAGAGAGAGAGGGAGCCATGTTGCAGTGCTCTGTGTGTGTTTATATGTAAATAGATTAGCCAAAATGCTGAGTTGCTGAGGTCTGTTACGCATGATGCACAAACTCTGCTGATCCCTAAGTGTGCCGGTGTCGGTTGGCATCGGTGTCTGTGATGTTTGGGCTGAAGAAAGCTTTTGAAGCTCCTGAACGATTGACCAGGAGGGAGAGAACATGCCAGCTGGGCATGTGTCTCTTCCAGGGTCCTACTCGAGTGTAGGCAGAGCTCCTGAAAGATCCTCCAGGGTAGATTCTTGCAATCAGTTGGTGTGCTCCCAGAAATGTCAACCATAAATCCATCTTTAGATGAGGTGGAGCTCAACAGCTGGAAAGGGGTGTAAGTCAGAGCAATGAACATGGTCTCTTCCAAAAGTCCATGTTTGTGTGCAGCAGTGTGCGTAAGCACACATGATGCATTTTTTATGTATCCCAAATTTGGAGATAGAAGCTTACCTGTTGTTTTGAAGCCGAAGGAGGCCATGGACTGAACCGGCACTGCAATCCTGAAGGGAACAAGCCACAGTGAGCTCTACAATGAAGTCCCCCAGGAAGGACGTGGCTGGTTCAGAGAGATGCTGAAAACGCTTCTTGGAAACGTTAAGGTAAATTCAACAGTGTAAACGAGTCTCATTGGATGTAATACAGTGGTACCTTGGTTCTTGAACATAATCTGTTCCAGAAGCCCATTCGACTCCCGAAACATTCAAAAGCAAAGGCGCAGTTTCCAATTGGCGCAGGCACCCCAGAAACAATAGCTGACAGCCACATTGAATGTTTGGCTTCTGAAAAACGTTTGAAAACCAGACAACCTACCGGTACTTGTGGGTTTTCGGCGTTTGGGAGCCGATTTGTTCATCAACTAAGCCATTCGAGGACCCAGGTTCCATTGTAATGGAATACTGAATGGTTTAGTTTATGTAAAATATGCAGGGATTTATGATATGCAAATAAGCCATGGAAAGAGAAAAAGGGAAGTCACAGACATTTCAAGGTTGTTTAAATGAATATTCTAAAGCAGGCTTCCTCAGCCTTGACCCTCCAGATGTTTTGAGACTACAATTCCCATCATCCCTGACCACTGGTCCTGCTAGCTAGGGATCATGGGAGTTGTAGGCCAAAAACATCTGGAGGGCCGAGGTTGAGGAAGCCTGTTCTAAAGTGTAAAACAGAAAATTCAATGAAAATTATATATAAATAAACGTCTCTCTGGGGCATAATATGTGGTGCCTTCTTCCCGATCAGGAATTGATGTTTCTACCAGCTTTGTTTTTGAGAAATCCTTGGCATGTGTGGAAGTTCGTGACTATTAAATGATATCCTGCGGTGTGGGAACTAATGGGTGGACAACAAAAAGGGATTCTGCAAATACTTATGGTGGCAGAGAGGCTTATACTGCAAGGCTGGAAGGACAAATACCCACCCACTCCTGCAATCCACTACTACTCAGTGGCCTGAAGATCTCACTGCCCTTTCTACATTTAAAACGCATGGCTTAAAATACAGACGTCTCCCCACTTGCGCAAGTGGGGAATTACCATATTTTTCGCTCCATAAGGCACACCTGACCATAAGGCACACCTACTTTTGGAGGGGAGAATTCAAGAAAAAAAATATGCATCTCTTGGGGGCTTTTGCGGGAGGTGGGGGAAGTGAGAGAGCCTCACTCTGTCCCTTCCCCCACCTCCCGCACAAAGATAGCCAGGGATAGCCGCACAAAGCCTCCCCAGGGCAGCGAGATCAAGGCTCCCTGCTGCCCTGTGGAGGCTTCGCGGGCTACCCCAGAGCTGCTCAGGAGCTTGTCGGGGCTGGTGGGGGAAGCCCGGGTCCCCCCTCCCAGCCTCAGGAACCACACATTCGCTCCATAAGACGCACAGACATTTCCCCTTAGATTTTAAGAGGGGAAAAGTGTGTCTTATGGAGCGAAAAATACGGTGCCCTGTTCGCCTCTGTCCTGCCCCATTCTGCCCCTGTTCCACCCCAATGGGGCATTGAAAATGGTGCACATCTCAAGATGGCAAAAACTGACTGGAAAACTCAGAAATCAAGAGGACAATAACTTTATAAAAGAATGGGGAAAACATATAAGTTATTTAAGAGACCACTGAAAGCAGATGGAAACATTGGCAGGATTTTGATCGCACTTGAAGTGTCATGATTACCATGGACAATATGGTTTGATAAAAAAAATGCTGGAGTATGGAAAAATATGCAGTAATAAATGTTTAAAATGGGACTCCATGGAGGGGGAGGGAGTCCTGAGATTCAGAGGAATCTCCACATATGGATATGTTTTTTTATTCTTGGCGTATAGCTTTGTACTTGTAAAACCAAATAAAAATGGCATCAAAAAAGAAGAAAGAAAATGGTGGGCATCTCAGTGGGAGCATGTGTGATGATTGGGGAGTTGCCCTCATATGGTATGCTTATTTAAATCTTGGCATTTAAATTAGAAATCATGTGATGTTTGTGTTGTTAATGACAGCTGGCGGTGTTTTCTCTCTCATCTCTTTCCTTCTGTCATATTTACAAAAATAAAATATAAAGACCTTGAGAAACCAATGAGCTCCTTTAAAACCGCTCTCCTCCTCTGATCCTGCAAAGGCAGAGATGGACCCACCGTGAGATGGGCCGAACCATGCAAAGAGCTATAGGGGAGTCCTCACCTGCTCTCCTCCCCCTCCAGCAGCTTGCGGTAGGTGGCAATCTCGATGTCAAGGGCCATCTTGACGTTCAGGAGGTCCTGATACTCCCGCAAGTGTCGTGCCATCTCTTCCTTCATGTGCTGAATCTCCTGCTCTAGCCGTGCCACCGTGTCCTGGTACGAGCCCATCTCCACCCCATATTGGTCCTCCAGGTCTCTCATCTGCCTCAGCAAAGCTTCGTTCTGTGGAGGAAAACACAAGTGGGGCTTACATGGGGGATGCAGGGAAGCAGGTCTCAGGGACACCTTACCCAGAAGCCACACCGACTCCCAAATCCTGCTCCTAATTCTCAACCGAGTGAGAACAGGCAAGACTGTGGACTCTGAGCTTCCCAGGCCTTGGAAACAGGGCGCAAGGCTGGCAAGGGCTGAAAATGGTTGTGCTCTTTTTTTCCCAGCTGCGAAAACGGACACAGAATCTGGAGCATAGGCATCCCACTATTATTATTATTATTATTATTATTATTATTATTATTATTATTTACATTCGCACCTTGGTTTTCGAACAGCTTAGTTCACACACAAACAACTCGGCAGTCAAATGTCACAAACCCGGAAGTAGGTGTTCCGGTTTGAAAACTTTGCCTTGGAAGCCGAACGTCCGACACAGCTTCCACAGCTTCTGATTGGCTGCAGGACGCTCCTGCAGCCAATCGAAAGCCACGCCTTGGTTTCTGAACGTTTCTTAAGTCGAACAGACTTCTGGAACACATTCTGTTCGAAAACCAAGGTACAACTGTATTGAGTTTATTTACCGCCCTATACCCAGAGGTCTCAGGGTGGTTCACAGAAAAGATCACAACATACATAATCAGAATAAATACAACAACCCAATAACACACACACACAAACCCCAGAAAAGAGCCACATTTTAAAAGGGTATAGGATGTATACATACACAATCACAATCACACTGCAAAATGTGGCACTGTGCAAAGAGAAGTCAGAAGTTCCAATAACCTCTGTGCTCAATTACACAGCATATATCGTTTTTCAACCTTTATGGTTTTGAAGATAAACTTGAAAATATATGATGGAAATGATATCTAGTGAAATCCCTGGTGAACTCGTAAAGGCCAGAAGAGGACACCAACGGCATCATTCGCTCAGGTTGAAGCCTTGAATCCTCACCCAAGAATACAAAACATTATGCAAAGATGGGAGGCTGCTCAGCTGCTGCCTCCCAAGGAACAGGAAAAGGGGGCTGAGGACAGGAAGGACGTCATACTGACCGTTCCTTTGAGTCCATCCACTTCACAGGTGAGGCTCTGGATCTGGCGCCGGGATTCGTTCATCTCCTGCTTGGCCTGGCGAAGCGCTTCGTGGTTCCGGTTGGCTGCGTCTGACAGGTCAGCAAACTGCAAGCGGTTGGGGGAGTCAGTGGAGAGAAGGGAAAGACCCGCCCCCAAGACCATTTCCTAGTCTATCTCCTAGTCTATCAGGGGGTCTGGAAACCAAGCCATATGAGGAGCGGTTGAAGGAGATGGATATCTTTAGCCTGGAAAAGAGGAGACTGAGAAGAGATAGGATAGCCATCTTCAAATATCTGAAGGGCTGTCACATGGGAGAGGAAACAGGTTTGTTGTCTCCTGCTCAGGAGGGCAGGACTCGAACCAATGACTTCAAGTTACAGTCAAACCTCGGTTTTCGAACGTCTCGGCTGCCGGACATTTCAGAAGCCAAACGCCGAAAACCCGGAATGCTTCCATTTTTGAACATGCCTCAGAAGTCAAACAGCTTCCGAGGCGTGTTTTTCAATTTTCCTCACTGAACTTGCTGATAAGCCCTTTGATCCTTGGTTTTCGAACGTTTCAGAAGTCGAACAGACTTCCGGAACGGATTACATTCGAAAACCGAGGTTCCACTGTACAAGAAAGTAGATTCCAACTAAACATACCGGAAAACTTTCTGACAGTAAGAGCAGTTCACAAAGGAACGGTCTCCCTCAGGAAGTTGTGGGCTCTCCTTCCTTGGAGGTTTCTAAGCAGAGGTTGGGTGGCCATCTGTCATGGATGCTTTAGCTGAGATTCCTGCATTGCAGGGGGTTGGACTAGATGACCCCTGGGGTCCCTTCCAACCAGTTCTATAATTCCTAGCAACAACGAGCTGTTTGTGTGTGTGTTTTGAAATGGCACTGTAGTCATAGCCGGCCGTCCCAGACTGTACTCCAAGGAAAGGGGAGCCTATGGAGTCTCCAGATGTCAATGGACTCAAGCTCCCATCCTTCCCAGCCAGGACAGGCTCTCCATCGATATGTAGCCCACCCTCCCACCTGTCAAGGCTTCAGGGAATCCTATCCCTCCCATGGTGGGATGCCAAGAAGCATGAGTTCTTACCGAGTACTTTATTCAATATTCACAGAGAGAAATGAAGGAATGCAGGAATGTGTCCAGGGCAGCTGTTTACCAGCTCCATCTGGTACGCAGGCTGAGACCCTACCTGCTCATAGACGGTCTTGCCAGAGTGGTGCATGCTCTGGTTATCTCTCGCTTGGACTACTGTAATGTGCTCTACGTGGGGCTACCTTTGAAGGTGACCCGGAAACTACAACTAATCCAGAATGCGGCAGCTAGACTGGTGACTGGGAGCAGCCACTGAGACCACATAACACCAGTCTTGAAAGACCTACATCAGCTCCCAGTACGTTTCCGAGCACAATTCAAAGTATTGGTGCTGACCTTTAAAGCCTTAAACAGCCTCGGTCCAGTATACCTGAAGGAGCGTCTCCACCCTCATCAATCAGCCCGGACACTGAGGTCCAGCGCCAAGGGCCTTTTGGCGTTCCCTCACTGCGAGAAGCCAAGTTACAGGGAACCAGACAGAGGGCCTTCTCGGTAGTGGTGCCCTCCCTGTGGAACGCCCTCCCACCAGATGTCAAAGAGAACAACTGCTACCAGACTTTTAGAAGACATCTGAAGGCAGCCCTGTTTAGGGAAGCTTTTAATGTTTGATGTATTACGGTATTTTAATATTTTTTTGGAAGCCGCCCAGAGTGGCTGGGGAAGCCCAGCCAGATGGGCAAGGTATAAATATATTATTATTATTATTATTATTATTATTATCATCATCATCTCTTAGATAATGGTGTTGCTCCAAGTAAAGTCCCACCCCCTCAGTCACGCCTATTCTACGTCACCCCTGCGCCGGCTGATCTGTGCTTTCTGTTCTCCTACTCTCACAGCACACCTGGTCCTGGGGGGGGCGGGGTCAGGAATGCTTTCAAGAGACACTGAGTTTGTTAACTGCCTCTCCCCCGGTGCTTCTCCTTCCTGCTGCTCCCCCAATATTTCCCAGCTTCTCCCCTCTGCAGCCTCTGAACTATGCCCTTCTGCAAACCGCTGTTCTAAATCTATACTGTCCTCCTCTTCCCGGGAAGGTACAGAGGGGGGGGCAGCTCCCAACATTCCTCCCCGGTCCAGCCCCTAACACCACCCTTGTAGCTGCACCCAGTTTAGGTACCTTGGATTTGTACCACTCCTCGGCCTCCTGCAGGTTCTTGACCGCGATGCTCTCATACTGGGTGCGGATGTCCCGCAGGGCAGCTGTCAGGTCCGGCTTGGCCTGCTCCACCTCCACTTGCACCTGCTGCTGGCTGTGCATGCTCACCTGCATGTCGTTCAGCTCCTGCACGCGCCGAGACATCGATGGGGACAAAGATACAAAGATGCAAAGGAACACAGACATGACAAATCACACGCAGAGAGATTGTAAGAGGAGATACTACAAAAAGAGAGAGCACAAATGCAGAGGAGCACAGCCACAAGGAGATGCAGCCCCATTATACATAGACTCCCTAACGTGAGACTACGTGGCAGAGAAAGTATGCTTCTCGGTTTCTGTCTCATTTATATACCACTTTTGGCCCCCCGAGCCCCCAAAGCGATGAACAGCATTAATACATGGCATGAAAGAAATATAAAGCGGAAATGGGATACGTACGCTAGATTGAGCAAAACAACTTTTTTAAAACAGCACAGAAATTTGGTCAAGGATAGCAGTTAGGCAACAGGATCTGGCTATTAATCTATAGGTGTGGCACATCAGAGGCGGGAGAAATCTGCCATTCGATTTTGCTTCTTTTCTTTTCTTTTTTGCATAAGGAAAAGGACTAATCAGAACTACCTTGTTTTCTTCTTACGCTGCCTGTAAGATGTTAGGCAGTCCTAAGCTTTCCCCCAAATCATTGGGGGAGTTCAGGGGTAAGAGGGGATGCTGGGAATGGCTGGAGGAAAAAACCAATTTATTCTCTCTGTGTCTCTGTGTCTGTCTGTCTGTCAGTCTCCCTCCCTCCCTCCCTCCCTCCCTCTCTGTGTGTGAGTGTGTGTGTGTGTGTGTGTCTTTCTTTCTTTCTGTCTCACTGAGGGTTACCAAACTTTGGCACTGTTTTATTCCAGCTGCTGGAATAGCTTCATGTGTGTTTGCATGAAGATTTGGGGAGAAAGCGTGCTTGTATGTGGCAGAATACTGGAGGAAACAGGTGAGGAGGTCACGTACTGGCATAGAGGAAATGCGTGGACTGACTTGATTCAAACAGGAATTTATTTGGGCAATGAGCTTGTAGAAAACTGATTTGGGGTAATGTTCCTATTATAAGATATATGTTATGGTATTCTTACGTTATGGTATCTGTGCGTGGAATAAAATACTTTGAAGTTGGCGAATACGCTATGTGCATACCCTATACCATGCCCCACAGCACGGGGGGGGGGGCATCAGTTTTGTCTTGTTTTTCTTCCACTTTTTATTTTATTGGCTTGTTAACAAAAAAAAGTGAAAACATAACAAAAGGAAAGAAAATGAAAGAATCCAAAATTTAAAGCATCAAGTATCACAGTCTTGAATGATAGATGGACACATTAGTACAAAATTCCCATATACAGCACAGTTACATAGTTACAGAGTGGGGTCATGGGTGCAACTGTATCTCTGTTATTCACTGCTAGACAAAGAAGAAGAAGAAGCAAGTGACTATCTGCTGCATGCAAGGGTTTCTCAGCTGCATCAGTCCTGCAAATCTACATACCTGAAGGAGCGTCCCCACCCCCATTGTTCTACCTGCACACTGAGGTCCTGCGCTGAGGGCCTTCTGGCGGTTCCCTCACTGTGAGAAGCAAAGCTACAGGGAACCAAGCAGAGGGCCTTCTTGGTAGTGGTGCCCGCCCTGTGGAACGCCCTCCTATCAGATGTCAAGGAAATAAGCAACTACCAGACTTTTAGATGACATCTGAAGGCAGCCCTGTTCAGGGAAGTTTGTAATGTTTGATGTTTTATCGTGTTTTTAATATTCTGTTGGGAGCAGCCCAGAGTGGCTGGGGAAACTCTGCCAGATGGGCGGAGTGTAAGTAATAAGTTGTTGTTGTTGTTGTTGTTGTTGTTGTTGTTGTTGTTGTTGTTGTTGTTGTTGTTATTATTATTATTATTATTACTATTATTATTCATAACTCTGGATACAAGCTATCCTGCTCATGCACCCAAGGGTGGGGCTGGGGATGCAACTGCACTTCTGCTGTTTACCACCAGATGGCGCACAAGCAAAATGGCTTCTGCAAGAACCTCGGAACATCAGAAATGTTAAAGGACTCTAAATGGGATCCCCATGAAGCCCGTGCACAAAATCTTCCCCTACCCCATGCCCACTTCTGCTGCTTCTCCTGCCGCCCCTTACCTGTCTCCCAAGGCTGCCACCATCCTCAGGAGCAAGCCATGAGTTTGGGATAAAACCTATTTTCTGTTGCGAGGCATGTACAGATAAGGTTTGAGCCCAGTCTTCTGCCCTCAGTGGAAGCAGCAGCTGCTGCCGTCAGTACAAATGACACACCTGTCCAGTTGTATAGGGTTCAGCTGCTCTCTCAAATGCCTCTATGTAAGCCAGTCAATGAACTAGTTGTAGTAAGGTTGAAGCTTACTGGGAAATGATATATAATGAATCGAAAAGGATGTTTAAATTAACATTTGTAAAAAAAAAACCAAAAAAACCCAGAAGCTTTTCTCTTGGGAATTATAGGGACAGAACTACCTAAATTGTATAGAAATTTATTTATGTATGCGACTACAGCGGCAAGAATGTTACTTTCCCAAAAGTGGAAAGAAGCAGAAGTCCCAGCAAAGGAAGAATGGATGCAAAAACTTATGGAATATGCAGAAATGGCAAAACTCACCGGAAGAATAAGAAATCAAGATAACAAACTTTTCATAAAAGAATGGAAATGGTTTATTGAATATTTACAGATAAATTGTAAACAGATAAAAATATTAGCGGGATTAATGTCATAATCTGCAGTTTTATAAGAGTATTTATCTATAGTAGATAAAGAAATGAGTAAGTTAAATGAATTTGGAGATGCATAAGATAGAAAAAAATGAATTCAAGGAATCGCAGAAAGAGGGGAAGTCAAATTTTGAAATGTCAAATTGATTGGAAAACTGTTGAAATGTATAAATTTGAAAATATAAATAAAAAACTAAAAGAGAGAGAGAGAAAAGGAAGTTTCAAATCTGCCCTCCACTCAAAGGCCACCCCCGTTATTTCCCATACCTCTTCATGTAGTTTCTTAAGGAATTCAATTTCATCCATGAGGGATTCAATCTTGCGTTCCAGCTCCAGGCGCGAGAGGGTGGCATCATCCACATCCTACCAAACCAGGGAGGAGAAACGAGCCATGATCAGAACCGCAGCAAGCCCCTTTCCATTTTAACGTAAAATACATATGGGTCAGAGAAGGATCGGGAAAAGCAAACAAGGTAATCCCAGCCTCATCCGCCAGGCTGCGATGGTGGGCTGAGGGGGAGAGAACAGGGTGCTTCAGTTCAGCACCACGGACAGCAGCCACAGCTGCCCAAAGCTGCTTTCAAGAACTTGGCTTGTGCCTTTACTGTTCAAGGACCCTTCACCCATGTAGGAGTGCAGGAGCTAATACGTGCGGCAGTATGCAAACAGCAGAGTGTGCTGGGACCCTACAGTTACTCAAGGGTAAGTGGGCTAGCCTGCCCCGCCTAGAGCCCCACTTACCTTGCGGAACAAAACCAAGTTCCCTTCAGCATCTTCGCGCTTGTGCATCTCCTCATCCAGCCTGTAGAGGACAAAGAACAGCAAAGAGCTAATAATAGGGCTAACTCCATAGTTTGTCATCTTCCCCCGGGTGACACTCCCCACTTTGGTCACACTTCTGCTCTGCTGCATAAACTCCCGACATCCTTTTCCTTATTCCAGAAGCAGTCTATTTTTTATTCCTCCCTACACTCTGGACAGCATCTTAAAAAGCAGTGACATCACCTTGCCAACAAAGGTCCGTATAGTTAAAGCTATGGTTTTCCCAGTAGTGATGTATGGAAGTGAGAGCTGGACCATAAAGAAGGCTGATTGCTGAATAATTGATGCTTTTGAATTATGGTGCTGGAGGAGACTCTTGAGAGTCCCATGGACTGCAAGAAGATCAAACCGATCCATTCTGAAGGAAATCAGCCCTGAGTGCTCACTGGAAGGACAGATCCTGAAGCTGAGACTCCAATACTTTGGCCACCTCATGAGAAGAGAAGACTCCCTGGAAAAGACCCTGATGTCGGGAAAGATGGAAGGCACAAGGAGAAGGGGACGACAGAGGATGAGATGGTTGGACAGTGTTCTCGAAGCTACCAGCATGAGTTTGACCAAACTGTGGGAGGCAGTGGAAGACAGGAGTGCCTGGCGTGCTCTGGTCCAGGGGGTCATGAAGAGTCGGACACGACTAAACGACTAAACAACAACAACACGCTCTGGACTCTGCTTTTATAGGCAAAGCAGGATGCAAGAACCAGTCAAATGAGCTGCACCCAGGAGTTCCTGCTTCTACGCCCCCTTGCTGCCATCCGCCACACCCCTACATCACAAGAACACAATGCCAAACAGACTTCTCCAGCCCCCTGACATCGGTCGACCCTGTGCTGGTAACACCCACAGGGCTTACCTAAAGCAGATAGCCAGTGCAGGAAGAGTAGGGGAAAGTCACTGAGAAGTATCAGGAATAAGGAACATTTGGTTAGAGGTGGAGATGGAGATCAAGTGAAATTGAGACCGTTCCAGAAATGCTTTGCATTGGCATCAGAAGCTTTTGGCCATTCCATGTTTATTCAAGTTGCATTCTCCTTCTCCTCCTTGGGAAGGGATGGTTTTTCAAGACACAGACAGATGCTGTCATTTGGCCACACCCTTCCCCAATGATGTATTCTCCACTCCACCCCGCAACACCAACGCCACCATCTCCCATAGTCCCTGAGCTGACGCAGGAGACAGATGGCACTATTAGGGCAGGGAGACTGGAGAACATGGCAAGTCCCACGTCACTCTGCATGGCTGAAGGGGACCACACCCCACCTCTCTCCCAGGCTTCTGCTCCTTGCGCACGCCTTATCCACCCCCTTCTCTTCTTCCCAAATAGCCCACCCCCACCCTGCCCCATCTGCCACAGCATGAGCGATGCCAGGATGCAGAAATTCAAACCCCACCCCACGGTGCCATGGGGAATGCAGTCTCGAGGCTGTGGCTTTGCTTGCTTTTGCTTTTCAGCACAGTGATGTGCGCATGGAAGTTGCAATGCCCTGGGAGGAACCCCTCTTGCGTGTGCAGCATGGGACTCCATGCGCACCACATGCCCCCCTTTAAGGAGGCTGCTGCTACCCCACCCACACTGGCTACCCACCTCACACAATTCCTTGCCAGCTCACAGGGATTCCCCCTGTCCTCATCATACTGCCCCTGGAATAGAGAGCTCTCTGGCTAAGGGCGTTATTGCTGTGGCGGAAGCTCTCTCACCACACCCCACTGCTCCCCCTCTACCAAGTACCAGAAATAGCCATCTCCTTGCACCCTGCCCCATCCAGACATCTCATGGATGACACAAAGGGACAGAAGTTCATCTCCTCCCTGCCACTCTCCACCATCGCCTTCCTGTTTTCAGGTACATATACCCACGGTCCCACACTGCATGGAGACAGCTCTTCTTTGCTCCTGCATCCCTTGCTTTATTGCCCTTTGTCACTAATAATAATAATAATAATTTATCTATACCCCACCCATCTGGCTGGGTTTCTCCAGCCACTCTGGACGGCTCACAACAGAATATTAAAAACACGATAAAACATCAAACTTTAAAAACTTCCCTGAACAGGGTTGCCTTCAGATGTCTTCTAAAAGTCAGGTAGTTGTTTATTTCCTTAAAATCTGGTGGGAGGGCGTTCTACAGGGTGGGTGCCACTACTGAGAAGGCCCTCTGTCTGGTTCCCTGTCACCTTGATTCTCGCAGTGAGGGAACCGCCAGAAAACCCTTGGAGCTGGACCTCGGTGTCCGGGCTGAACGATGGGGGTGGAGACACTCCTTCAGGTATACTGGGACGAGATCAGCACCAATTGTGCTCTGAAACGTACTGGGAGCCAATTTAGGTCTTTCAGGACTGGTATTATATGGTCTCAACAGCCACTCCCAGTCACCAGTCTAGCTGCCGCATCCTCCTGCCAAGTTGGACTCATCCCATTAGTGGAGAATTATTCCCCACCACACCCTTCCCACCCCGCTGACACATCTCAAGGACCAGTCTTACTTATTTTCTGTGTGTATCAACCTTCCTAGAATCCCTATATCTCCCAAGACATCTTTTTATTGTGGCTGTTTGTTTGTTTTTTTAATTTATCCCCCACACAGTTCTGGATGGAACAGTTTCCAATCAACCATCTTTCCACAATCTCCATCGGGAGGCGGAACCAAAACGAAAAGATTCTAGCAAACCTTTCCAAAGTGCAGAATTCCTGGCTTGCAACTCTTCCTTCTGCAAGTCATCAAAGTTCAAATTCAATGCCTCCGAGTCTCCCAGACCTACACCGTCAGTGCAGAAAAATCCTAACACACTTACTCAAAAGCAAGTCCCAGGATGTCCGGTTCTCAGTGTGCATAGGATTCCATGCACAAGCCTAACCATGTATTTTCAGAAGGAAGTCCTATTGAACTCATCAGGGCTTACTTCCAGGTTATGATTGCGGCCTTAATTGTTGTCTTGTCCCAGACTCTTATGCAGCAGTGGGTATACAGCCCAGGAACACTGGATCCCAGGTTTACCGGGGTGCAACTTTAATCCCTCTTTTAGGATTGAGAATAAGCTCCCAGCACAATCCAGCACATTCCCCCATCACTGCCTAAGGCTAATAAAATAAAATAAGAAAAGGTGCTCTGATTGCAGGGCAGTGATTCATCATTTGTAATGCATGCAGTTGGAATATAATGAGTGGATTAAAGAAAGAATTGTATAGATTTAGTTGGTTCCCATTTGTTTATCAATCATATCAGGAACCTAGGAAGCTGGCCATTGGTCCATTTAGTGAGGTATTGCCTGCACCAACAAGAAGAGACCCTACAGGGTCTCAGACCAGGGTCTCCCTTGGTCCTACCAGGAGATGCAGGAGAACGAACCTGGGACCTTCTACATTCAAAGCAACTGCTCTACAGCTGATGCACTGTCCTTCCCCACAAGGTGTTATATAATGCCGTTTCCCATTTTTGCTGCTTTGCTTTTGAGCTGGAAACTAAGGAAGAAATGTCTGGATCCCGGAAAGGCCCACTGCTACGCAGTCATGCCACCCCTCAGGACTTTGGGGTGTAGAAGGACACTTACAGAATGAGCAAGTTCCCCAAATGCAACAGAGCTGGCATGCCACATTTTGAAGCAAATTAAGTATAATACGTATTCCCACCCAAAGAGCCTGGGCAGTTAAGTGCACAGTCTAAAACCATCACTTTCTGAACCTTCCTTACTTAACCCACATATCGCTAGGCTGCATCAATGGACTCTGCTGACTTGGAGGCAGGACAGGGGTGGCTATTATTTCAGTCCGAGTCCCTAACCCTGCCCTTTTGCAAGAGGACCTGGAATTGTGCCTCTCTGGCGCTGCCACCAATTAAAAGTCTTGCTATCTTCGGAGGGAGAAGTGCCATCAGAGTGCGACGCTACCTCTTCCCTATTTCCAAGCAGAGAGAGTTAGCAAAGATTTCTGAATATTGAGGGAGTGGGAAATGGGACTCTGCACGAGATCAGAGGCAACCATCTTCATCTACTCCAAATGATGCGTTTGGGGGCCGGGCTGACTTCATCTTCATCTACCCAGAAGGATCCCTTTGCGGGGGCTGACTCCAATTGAGTTCTGGCTTGTCTTTTGCTTCATCTTTCTCAGGAGACCCTCCCACCACCCAAAGGAGAACCCAGGAATCCGGGGGGGGGGGGCGCCTGCCGCGATTAACCCCTCCCGCCCCGCCCCAGCAACTTAAAACAGCGCACAAGGCTGAAGTTCCGTTTTCCGCACAGGATGTGGCCCGGCTTGCCCCCTCCATCTTCCGAGGAGGACCCCGGCGTCCTGGCACGCCCCCGCCCCCACCCCGGCGCCTCACCTCTGCTTGAGGGCGGCCAGATCCTCGGCCATGTTGTCCCTCTCGACCTGCAGGCGGTCGCGATCCTTGCCCAGCGCGTCCACCTGCCTGCGCAGCTCGCGGAGCTCGTCTTGGAAGAGGTCGGCGGCGCGCGTGGGCTCCTTGGAGCGCGCGTGGCCCAGCTCGGCCAGCAGCGCCGCGTTCTGCGTCTCCAGGTAGCGCACTTTCTCGATGAAGCTGGCGAAGCGGTCGTTGAGCTCCTGCAGCTCCTGCTTCTCGTTGCTCCGCGTGGCCAGGAACTCCTGGTTCAGCGCCTCGGCTACCGAGAAGTCCAGTTTCTCGGCCGCCCCGTAGGAGTAGCGCGGTGCCGGCGCGCTGGAGGATCGGAAGGTCACCGCGCCACCGCCGCCACTGGCCCGGTAGGAGCGCATGGATGCCGCCGTCGAGGGCGTGCTCAGCAGCCGCGTGGCCGAAGAGGACGAGGCCAGGCGGGACGAGGAGTACGACAGCGGGGACAGCATGGGCGGCGGCCCGAAAGTGCGGCGGTACGAGGTGGCGCGGATGGCGCCGGAGTGGTGATGGTGGCTCATGGCGCAGCGGCTGGGCCTGGAGAGAGATGGAGGAGAAGGAGAAGAGGCGGCGTCGAGGCTGGGACGGAGCCGCGAAGTTCTCGGCGGGGGAAGAAGGCGCCGCCTTCGGAGATGCCGCTTTATAGGCCCCCAAGTCGCGAACTGGAGGGGGGAGGAGGGCAGCAGCAGCAGCAGGAGGCTCCTCCTCTCTTGGATGCGGCCCAGAGCCCCGCATTGCAGCCCCGTCGTCTGGGAAAGGGAACCACCCCGCCCAGGCTGCTCTGCAAAGATGCTCTGGCGGGCAGGAGGGGAGGGTGAGTGGGATCCCAGGCGCCCTGTCCGGTCCACCGCCCTCCATGTCATAGTGCCAACACCCTGGGGTGCCTGAGCACCCACAAAATTCCCCGTGGATGGGCCGGGACACCCACCAATGTCGGTGCCAGGGCCATGCACGCTGCATGGCACCCACGGTCGCGGTGCCAAGCTGGCACGCCTGCTCCAGGTTGTTGGGGAGACAGAACATCGCACTGCAGCCCCACCCCCAGCCTCCTCCCTCCTATGCACGTTTCTGTAGAAGTAAATCCCCTCGATTATCCGCAGCGGACCTGACACCCAGGGCCTTGCAGAGCCAGGCAGAGGCCCGGGCCAGGTAGATAATGTGCCCCCCCCCTCCTTTATAAATAAGTAAGTATATAAATAATTTTCACAAAAGTTATGCTGACAAAGAATTTTATTTCAAGGCTTGAACCGTATCTGCATACAAATATAAAATGGAAAATACAGTGGTACCTCGGATTAAGTACTTAATTCGTTCCGGAGGTCCGTTCTTAACCTGAAACTGTTCTTAACCTGAAGCACCACTTTAGCTAATGGGGCCTCCTGCTGCTGACATGCTGCTGGAGCACGATTTCTGTTCTCATCCTGAAGCAAAGTTCTTAACCTGAAGCACTATTTCTGGGTTAGCAGAGTATGTAACCTGAAGCGTATGTAACCCGAGGTACCACTGTATAGATATACAATAGTGAATATGCTGACCGAGGCCCCGTCTGGGCCTGCTGACACCGGACTGGGACATCAGGGCCAGGCAAGAATGGAGAAGTACATTGTTCTCGGGTCTCTCTCTACCCATGGTGGGGGAAGTGCCTGCGTGGGGGGAGCTAGGGCACAGGGCGGTGAATCACCAATTCTCCCTCTAGATCTGTCGGCAAAAATGGAATGGGTTGGATAAATATGTCAGGGCAGTGGTTCCCAATTAGTTAAATCCTGTTTTTCAAAAGCCAACCCATGGACCCGCTGCTTTTGAAATATTTTGATTCCTTTGTGGTGGTTTTTGTTCTGTGAATGGTGCCACAGGACCCCCCCCCCCCCGTGGGTGGGTCATGTGGACCCCCTGAGGTCCGTGGACCACCAATGGGAAACCATTCTGTGTTAGGAGAGGAAGCAAGAAGGCAGGTAAACTAAGTGAGATGGGGGAGCCACCATTGCGTGGCAGAAAAGAAGCATTAAAATTCAGCCGGGTAGTTTATTATTATTATCGGCTGCCAAGCAGGAAGAGTTTTCTGTGGCTCCCTGAAACATAGGCTCGTAGAATTGTAGAGTTGGAAGGGACTCCAGGGGTCATCTAGTCCAACCACCTGCAAAGCAGGAATCTCAGCTAAAGCATCCATGACAGATGGCCAGAGCGGGGTGACATTTTGGCAATACAGTGGTACCTCGGGATGCGAACAGGATCCATTCTGGAGCCCTGATTGCATCCTGAAGCGAACACAACCCGTGTCTGTGCGTGCACAGGTCATGTTTCGCCGCTTCCGCGTATGCATATGATGTCATTTTGACCATCTGCACATGCACGCGTGGCGAAACCCGGAAGTAACGCGCTCCGTTACTTCCAGGTTGCCGCGGAGCGCAACCCGAAAATACTTAACCGGAAGCACATTTATCCCGAGGTATGACTGTATTTGGGACGCAGGTGGCACTGTGGGTTAAACCACAGAGCCTAGGACTTGCCGATCAGAAGGTCGGCGGTTCGAATCCCTGCGACGGGGTGAGCTCCCATTGCTCGGTCCCTGCTCCTGCCAACCTAGCAGTTCCAAAGCACGTCAGAGTGCAAGTAGATAAATAGGTAGCGCTCCAGTGGGAAGGTAAACGGTGTTTCCATGCGCTGCTCTGGTTCGCCAGAAGCGGCTTAGTCATACTGGCCACATGACCTGGAAGCTGTACGCTGGCTCCCTTGGCCAATAAAGCGAGATGAGTGCTGCAACCCCAGAGTCAGCCACAACTGGACCTAATGGTCAGGGGTCCATTTACCTTTCCTTTTATGACTGTATTCAGACCCAGTGAGCACTCAAGCCATTGCATCTTGCTCCATATGCACTGGTCCAACTGCACTGGCTACCAATGAGTTTCTGGGCCCAATTCAAAGTGCTGGTTTTGACCTATAAAGCCTTAAATGGCTCAGGACCACAATACCTCAAGGACCACCTCTTTCCATATGAACCTACCCAAACCCTGAGATCATCTCCTGAGGCCCTCCTTCCTGTGCCTCCCCTATTGCTTGCTTAATAAGTCACTCTGCCTTTGCCAGCTTCCATCTGAGAAGCGGGAGAGAGAGAGAAATTGATCACAACAACAGCAGCAGCAGCAGCAGCATTGTCAAGTACTTCAACTTGCATATCCCGCAAGCATGAAACTATGGGGATGCGCGCGCGCACACACACACACACACACACACACAAATGCAAGTCATGGGTGATGCAGCCAAGAGAGCTCACACCCACAAGTTGACTCACATAGGCCTGGTACCTCATCCAATTTACCAACCTTGCAGTCTACATAGAAATCAGCTGTGGTTTCAGGGAGACGTCCATGCCGACAAACCATACGCCAAGAAACCTCTTTAAAAATCTCATATGCATATCATATCGCAGTTGGTCTTATCATTCCTGACCACCGCTCCACGCACATATATATATTGGGGAGGCTAGTTTTTCTGGAGCTGAAGAGCTGCGTCAGAAAATTTTGACAGAAGCCCTTTCTTTTTCTTTCCCCCACATGTAATAATTTTTTATTATTTTATATAAAGTTATACACAATAACCATAACCATTCCAAAACATGAGAATAGAGAAGGTTCTTTCAAACCTTCAGACCTCCTTCCCTCCCTCCGTGGGTTTCATTTCAAAAAGTTTAATCTGTTTTCCTGAATCTTTTACTGTTATCAATCTATTATATAATCATAGTAACCAAAGTTCATTTCACTTTACAAGGGTCATTCTAACCCTGCCAATGATTTCAACTGTCTACAGCGGCCTTTTAAATATATTACAAAATTACTCCAGTCTTTTAAGAATACTTGGTCTTCCTGGTTTCTGATCTTTCCCATCAATCTTGCCATTTCTGCCTGTTCCATCAATTTGGTCTGCCACTCTTCTCTGGTCGGTACTTCTTCATTCCATCTCTGGGCTAAAAGCATCCTTGCTGCCGTTGTTGCATACATAAACAGTCTTTTATTTTCTTTTGGTAGTTCCTCACCTATTTTATACCTAACAAAAAAGCCCCTGGTTTTTTAATACAGTAAAAGTTTTCTTAAACATGTTCTTTAATTCATTATATATCATTTCCCAGAAAGCTTTTACCACCCCTTTACAGAAGCCCTTTCAGTGCTGCTGCTGCTGCTTCTCCCTGACCGATAGTCCTTGAGGTCAACTGTTTTCTTCCACCCAAGACACACACATATGCCCATGGCAAATGCTTCTTACTGCTTCACCTCCTGAGGTTCCTTGACAGTTTTTCCCCCTCCCAGCCAGCGTTTTCTCTCCAAGGCTTAACAGTGCAATCTGATGATTCATATGCTCTAGTAAGTCTCACTGTCTCCAACTGCACTATACAGTTAAAAAGCAGTATCATACCACTTTAAACAGTTGTAAAGGTAAAGGGACCTTTAAACAGTCGTAAAGGTAAAGGGTAAAGAGGAAGGCACACTTGGCAAACGCTCACCGTGATCAGTTCCTGCCCAGAAACCTATGTCTCCACTGTGGAAGGACGTGTGGATCCAGAATTGGCCTCCACAGTCACTTACGGACTCACTGTTAAAACCGTGTTTATGGAAGACAATCTTACTCGGCTGTGAGTGATCGCCAAAGGAGAAGAAGACCTAATACCTCTCTGACTGGCACAAAAAGGGGGAAATAGAAATCTACTCCCTTATGGCAACACCACTCATACAATCCATCAGCCTGCCAGAGGGAGTGCTCTCAGTGGGGGGCGGAGGGTGGGGAGGGAGGAAAAGGTGGGGGGGAGAAAATAGCTGGAGGGGTTTGTCCAGTTCTTGACCACCTGCTGAGGTTGCCAATATTTAATTAATGCCAGATACAGAGTAGATGCCCATTAAATGGGGCCTTCCAGGCTCACAGCCGTGTAACGTCAAGAGCTGGAATATTTTGAGATCTAACAAAACCTATTTCATATGTGGCATACCATGGGAGCACAGCTGTGTTTATATTGTAAGAAAAATCAAACTTCTCTGCCCTGGAATGTTGAGCTGTACAATCTCTGCCAGCTGAGATATCAAAAATGCACCAAAATGGCAAAACTGACCGGAAACCTCAGGAACCAAGAAGACAAAAACTTTAAGAAAGAATGGGGGGAAATGACAAATTATTTAGGAGACCACTGTAAGCAGATGTAAACATTGGCAGGATTTTAATAACACTTGTAATGTAACAAACACTGTGGATAATATGGAGAGATACAATATATGGATTGTGAAATAATATGCAGTTGAAGATGTTGAGAATTGGACCAATAGTGGGAAGTTGGGAGACTCAGATAAATCTCAATATATGTGTTTGCTATTGTTATAACTTTTTGTTTGTAAAATCAAATACATATTTTTTTTACAAATAAAATAAAATGCATATGCATATTTACTTATCTTGGCTCAATTTAATTTAAATGGGTTTTCCTGGGGGGAAGTGGTGGCAACATTGTAAAGCATTCTGAACATGGAAAGTATAGAAATTGCAGCAAATGTGCCCAAGATTTGATGGTGGGTGGGTGTCATATCATAGCAAGCATAGAACAAGCTGGGTAATCAGATTGCCAAGCATTTCCTGCAAACCCCTCTGGCTCTTAATGATTAATGGAGTTTAGCTTTAAAAAAAAAACAGGAAAAAAGAACCTAAGAGACCTGATCCCTCATCAGCAGGAAGTGCTGAAGACAAAGAGTGAGCCAGACAGCCGCAGATTAAAAGACAAGCAAAAAATAAAACCCTGCCCTTGCTATTATTACAGTTCTTATTCCCTGGCTGCTTGACACACACACTAAAATATATCCCTCCTCAAGAGCAGTTTATAAAATCGGCTGAGGTAGAATATAGTTCCACTGGTACTGCTGATCTCATCGCCTGGCAAGCGATGTGATGTTGGGGTAGCCTTCCTTAAGCTGATGCAGATTTGGCCTTCCTGAACATTTACTGAATGAGACCACATAACACCAGTCCTGAAAGACCTGCATTGGCTCCCAGTATGTTTCCAAGCACAATTCAAAGTGTTGGTGCTGACCTTTAAAGCCCTAAATGGCCTCTCAGCCCAGTATACCTGAAGGAGCATCTCCACCCCCATTGTTCTGCCCAGACACTGAGGTCCAGCTCCGAGGGCCTTCTGGTGATT